TCTCATCATACTACAGACATAACCGATCATTGCCGATTCCAAGTTGAACAAGGATGCATCAGACTATTCCCATTTTTGTCCTCCTCCGCAGATCGTCATCCGACCCCGCAATTCGGGTAATCGGCAGAAGCGGACTGGAGAATTGGCGCTTCTCCGCCATCTCCGCTGTCTCCGCTCATCTTCCAACCAGGGTTCATTATTCTCTACTCCGGAGTTCCCCTGTTCATCTTGGTAGAAAGTATCTCCTGCCATTGTGAGTGACTTTCTGACCATCACGACCCTGTGATCGAATAATAGCGCCGTGAAAGATGAATCTGTACGGAATACTCCGTAGACACACTCGAGTAAGACGATGGAACTCCTTTTCTCCATAACCTATGCGATCGTCAATAAGTTTCAGTATCGGGTGACATCAAATATGAACTCGTTGCTCAAGAGTCGTATTGTGTCCTGTTTTTTTCGTGCCAATTCCTAGCCATGGGCGAACACAATTCTCAAACAACACGCAAAGAGATCTTTCTCTCTCCACATGTGCTTCTCTCACAATGTTGCATGCTCACTTCGCTGCTGACACATGCGAGAGGAATTCTTCATGCGACAGAGGTTGCATGACGAAGTCGTCCGGGTGATCGATCTGGTTAGCTCCGTCTCCTCCACACGTGCCCTCCGCCATCTCCGCGCTTCCTCCGCTCTTCCCCTGCTTGAGACGCGCAAAGCTGAAGCTTCATCTGCAACACTGACCCTGTAGACCCAGACTCTACTCCGTACAGGGATGGTGACCCCGCACGAGACCCGAGCACCAACCATGGCAAAGATGATAATCATTGCCTCCTCCATCCCTGGTCATACGGCCGAGGAGAGTGGAGTTACGTGTTTAAGCCATGAGGGGACAGGGCTGGTCCTATGGAGTTAGCCCAAGGTGGTGTGGTGAGCTGCATCTGGGGATCGAAAGCTGCGTATTTATTTGATCTTCTGTCGCTGTTTGAGAAGTCCCTGGTTCTGTTTCGTTCCCTGTCGAAGGATAATCCTCAGCAAACACAATGGCTCCTATCTCAACTCAAGACATTACAAATGGCGTCAACGGAATCAATGGCCATGCAGGAGGCATGGCTACCTGGGGCTCGAGACGTCCCACGCGCAAGTTGTGCCCGCATGAAGACTTGCGCTTCGATCCGAAGCTGATGCCCAAGAAATACAAGATAGCTGGTGTGCTGGACTGGACACTGTGCTCAAGTCTGGCTTTGTCTTCTAACGTCGCGTACAGGAACCTCGCCAGACTCCAAAATTCTATTCCTTGACGTAAACATGTACGTTTTTACTCCTCCGGTACCATTGTCGTCGGCGTAGCTCACTGACACTGGTCGGCAGTATCGATTCCACCGGAGCTGATCCATACCGGGGCGATGTGTACATTGAAGGTCCGCATTCCAACGAGTTTACGATATAGCAAATGTGCTGATTTGAGTAGGCGAGCGTATCCGATACGTCGGAACCGTCCCAAATGTCAACCGCCTCCAGCGAGACCCGAAAGTCAAGGTTATCCGAGGTCGGGGTCGTACGCTGATGTCAGGTTTGGGAGATGCACACACTCATTTCACATGGAATAATGGCGCTCTTTGTATGGGTTATCGTTCCTTTATTTCTCCTTTATTGCGGACTAACAACAGTCAGCAAACCTCGGTGAGATGGGGGTAGAGGAACACACCATCCTGACCGCCAAGTCTGCACAGGCATACTTGGACTCCGGATATACAATGTTGGTTTCCTGCGTATGTTGTGTTTGTTGCTAGTCTAACAAATGCATAGGTGCTATGGCGCGGCATCAGCTAAGGACCGTCTCGATTGCGTGATCCGAGATGCCATCAACAGAGGCGACCTTCCAGGACCGAGATATATGGCCAATGGCAAAGAGATGGCTCGCAGAAATGGCGAGCTCGAGCCTGGTATCACTGCATTTGCGGATGGTATGTCCATGTATAACTGTCCCTCTCGAGCAATATTTCTAAGGATTTGGCAGGTCCACTGGAAATGAGGGAAGTTATCCGACATCACGTTTCCATTGGTGTGGACCAAATCAAGCTAAGCATGTCTGGCGAAGAGGTAAGTCTCACATAGGCCATCGTTTCTCAGTCGCTGACTGCTGTTTCAGATCCTTGAGACTCGATCAGCGCAAGATTGCTATTTCACAGAGGAGGAAACGGCAGCATGCGTGGACGAAGGTTCGTGAACTGCAAATTGGTTTTGCTGAGCAGCAATAGACTAACAATTTCACAGCACACCGTCACGGAATTAAGTCTGTCTAAGTGATGATCTCGAACTACAAATAGAATCTAACTAACGATACTAAAGGGTAAGTTCACATGCGCGATCCCGGGACTCGGTGATGCAATGTCTGAAATACGGCGTCGATGTGATTTACCATGCCAGCTACATTGACGAGGAGGGCATGGATCTGCTTGAAAAGAACAAACACAAGCATGTTGTGGCGCCCGGTCTCAACTGGTTGTGGGCGACAATCTACGAAGCTGGTCCTTTCGGCTATTCGTTCGAAAAGGCAGAGCAAGTGGGCTACAAGAAGGAACTGGAAATCGCAATTAGAGCTCTCAAGGAGATGCACGAACGAGGCATAACTGTTCTTCCGTAAGTTTTCACTCTGTTCCAATGTTACCTGCGTTTCTCTTTCTACAAAACATTACTGACTGGAAGAAACGCTACAGTGGCGGAGACTACGGATTTGCCTGGACGCCGCACGGAACTTACGCGAGAGACCTGGAACATTTCGTGAAGCTGCTGGATTTCACGCCCATGGAAGCCATTATCGCAGCAACGGCTGGCGTGGCTTCGCTCTTTGACCCTTCAGAGCTGGGCAAAATCCAGCCTGGTTACTATGCCGACTGCATTCTTGTGGACGGCGATCCGCTGAAGGATATCTCTATCCTCCAGGACCATGACAAGCTGAACGTGATCATAATCAACGGCCGGATCCACAAGGCGTCGTACAAGGAGTTCCTGTCTGTTCAGCCAGAGCTTATCCCGCCTCCGAGGCAGACCTTCACCAACTTCGTGGCGTATGCGGATAATCTTGGTCGGCCCCGGATTGGACACCTGGATCTGGACCAGTCCACTATCACCCCTCTTACGATGGCCTCTGGAAGTCCTATCAGCAATTTATATGAAGTCATCGAGCTGGGGAATGAAGTGGTGCCTTCAGAGGAGACCCTGCCGTTGAACAGCGTCCAACTGCTGCCGCCGATCAGTGGTCGTGACGTCTTAGCCGTGGGGAAGAATTACCCAGAGCACGCTACGGAGTTTAACAGGAGCGGCTATGATTCGAGTGACAAGGTCGATCAACGTGAGTATATTGTTGAAATCCTCCAGCATTTATGAAAGGCATGTTCATTCGCTGATTGAACATACATACAGCATCCCACCCAGTTATTTTCACCAAGCGAAGCACCAGCATCATAGCCTGTGGAGAGGAGATCTATCCTCATCCAGAGTTTACACAGACACTGGATTATGAGGGTGAAATTGGTGTCATTATCGGCAAGGCTGGCTACAAGATTGACGAGAAGGATGCTATGGACTATGTGTGGGGATATACAATTATCAATGGTTGGTAGCCCACATTACATCCTGCTCTGCTCATAGAGTTTTTCTAACTCATCCAAATAGATGTCACTGCCAGAGAGAGGCAACGCGATCACAAGCAGTTCTTTATTGGCAAGTCTGCAGACACGTTCTGTCCAATGGTAAGTATCGAGTCCACATGGCTTTTTTTTTTTGGTGGCTGGCGACGCAACAAGTTCTAACCTCTCACAGGGCCCAATAGCGGTACCAGCCGCCAATCTACCAGAGACACTTCGTGTCCAGACATTCGTCAACGGACAGAAGCGTCAAGATGGCACTACAAAGGATCTTATCTTCTCTGTTGCCAAGCTAGTGAAGACTATCTCTGAAGGGATCACTCTCCAGCCAGGAGATGTCCTCGCAACTGGCACGCCCGCAGGCGTAGGGTTCGGACAGGATCCTCCAACCTTCCTGAAACCTGGAGATATAGGTTCGTCATCCATCTGAACTCGGAAGACTAAGGTTGAGCGTTCGCTAATAAATACTATTTAGTTGAGGTGTCGGTCACCGGCTTAGGACGTCTTCGCAATCGCGTTGCTGATGCTTCTTCTGCAAACTATGCCGCAGAGCGCATCTCGACCGTCACCAATCTCCCGACATATAATCTCGAAATTACATGCGGTGGAGTCGGCTTGACACAGATCGGCGACAAGTTCATCAATGTGAAGAAGGTCGGCAACGGTTCGGAGAAGATCGTATTCGTTCATGGCCTTGGAGGCACCACAGAGTATTGGACACCCTTGATTGAATCCGCAGGGTTGAAGGACAACTATACCTGTTACGTGTATGATCTCGAAGGCCATGGCCTGACTCCGACAAAGTCGTCGTCCGTCGTCACTATGGACACCTTCGCGGAGGATCTGGCTGGGATCTTCGCCCACGCGAACATCACTTCCGACAACGGCGGCGCCATCCTTGTCGGTCATTCCCTAGGCTGTCTGATCGCCATGACATTCGCGGTGCGGAATCCATCACTTGTCAAGAAGCTCATTCTCACGGGGCCTGGACCGTCCCCATTCCCTGCAGCCGCCAGCGAAGCAACATACAAACGAGCAGCCGCCGTCCGCGCACACGGCATGCTGGCGTCCGGAGTTGCCGACGCAGTGAGCAACGCAGCCACGTCTCAGAAGACGAAAACATCCCGCCCAGTGGCATACGCCGCCGTACGGTCTTCTCTTCTCGCCCAGATCCCAGAAGGCTACGCAAAGGCATGCACGGCCCTCGCCGGCTCGAAGGACACGGAGATCGAGATCGAGAAGCTGACCATGGACACGCTCATTCTCACCGGCGACGAAGACAAAGTTTCGCCGGTAGATCTGGTTAAGAAGATGAAGAGTAGGATGAAGAACGCGAGGGTGGAGATCCTGAACGACGTTGGGCACTGGCACATCTATGAGGATCCGGAGGGCGTCGCTCGTGCTGTGAAGGCATTTTTGTGACTGGAAGGACAGCAGCCGAAGCGTCGTGGATCATGGCTCGGCCGCCATATGAAGGAAAGAAAGTCTGTGAAGGAGCTTGGAAGGAGGTTGTCGAAGTTGAGAAAGAAGCACGGGAATCCTGCTGACCCGTAGCGCATTTTGTGTTATATGTAGTACATTTGTATGTTATTTCATACCTATGTAGTCAATCAACTGACTCGTTTCTCGAAAAGTTCGCCATTAAATCGATGTGTTAAAGGATCGCCCTGAAAATTGCCCTACCAAGATCCTCGCGTGAAGCCACCAGCCCTAGCCCCGAACCCTAAGCCCTGAGCCGATCTAGAGCTGACCGTCTGCGGGAACTACTACAAATATCCGGCACAAAAAAGAGAGAGAGTCCAGATAATGGTATAAAACTTTTCAATTAACCTATCATAGAAATTTCAACCTATCTATCATGATTCATGAACAACGGCGCGTCACGTGTCCAGAACGGTATCACTTATATTTCCGGCAGTATTCCACTGCCCGCCTCTTTCACCGCCCTAACACAAAATCGCCGTCCGTTCTATGTACTGTACAGCTTTCGACCTCATCGTCATCATCCTCGTCATCATCCTAGTCGTCCTCGTCACAATTCCCTTACTCGATCTTGATGGTGACCTTTCCAATGTGCTTCTGCTGCCACATGTATTCATACGCTTCCCTGGCCTTTTCCAAGGTGAACACTTCCTTGTCGACCACAGGGTGAATGTTGTTGGCCTCGATGGCTTTCACCATGTCCTCCATCTGAGCCTTCGAGCCGACATACACGCCTCTCACCGTGCAGATCCGGGAGAGAGTTTCCAGCAGTGTCGGGTTGCCCTTCGGGTCAGAGTGGCCCAGGAATCCGATGATGCTGATAATGCCCTCGAACTTGATCGCCTTCAAGCTCTGCTCCAAAGTGCCAGGTCCACCAACATCCAGCACGTGGTCAACGCCCTGATTGTTGTACGTGAGCTTGCGCGCCGTCTCTCCCCAGTTGGGATCTTGCTTGTAGTTGATAACGTGGTCGGCGCCCAGCTTCTTGAGGAACTCGAATTTGTCGTTCGACGAGGTAGTAGCGATGACGGTGGCACCGGCGGCTTTGGCGAACTGTATATCAAGGTCAGAGAGAAGCAAAAATCGACCTAGGGAATGGACCTGCTCACCTGCACTCCGAACACACTGACACCACCGGTTCCCTGGATCAAGACCGTGTCACCCGGCTTCACTGGCCGAAGACCATACAGGGCGTTCCAGCTGGTCAGGGCCGCGCAAGTCAGGGTGCTGGCTTCGAGGAAGTTCAAATTGGAGGGTGCGCGGACGAGACCGTTCTCGTTGAAGACACCGTACTCGCGCAAAGTGCCGTCAATGACACCACCGAGGCCCGTCTTCGTGGCATTGATATCAATGGGGTCGAATTGGTGGCCTTGGTTGAACAGAGTCACGACCCTGTCGCCTTTCTTCCATTTCGTTACCTTGGAGCCGACCTCGACGACTTCACCGGCACCGTCGGAGCCGGGGACGACGGGGAGCTTGAGCGGGAAGGGATACAGTCCCTGGACATCAATGTCAGCAGGTAAATCAGAACATTGGTTAAATCTGCGAGGCGGACCTTCGGAATGATAAGGTCACGGTAATTCAAGGCAGCCGCATGGAGCTTGACAAGCACTTCATGTTCACCCACGCGGGGGACGGGACCACTGCCGAAGACGAGTTCATCAAAGTCGTTCTCGGTGCCCTTGAGGGTCCAGTGCTTCATCGTCGGCGCCATGGTGATGACTGTCGCTCAAGATGCAGAATTGGTTGTGTTATGCCTGCTGTGAACTGACTTCAGATTCGATGACACCGATCCCCTGGCACGTCATTTCTCGCATGATATATATACGTCAGACCCGGATCGCGGATTTCAAATCAGCACGACGGCCAGCCCCACTATCAGAACGCACCGAGGCGATGGAGTCCATTCCAGAGCTTTCCTGTCAGTTTTGGCAGCCCACCGGGCCGGGTCGACGGCATCATGATTAGGTAGAGTCTGTGGGGAAGAGCCGGATGGACGTGCGAATGAGGGCGAATGACGATGCGCGATCGCCGTTTTGATTCGCGGAGTCTAATCCATTTTCAGTGCTTACATCTGCCAGGAGGTTCCTTGCTGATAAATAAAGTGTCCGAACTAGTTTCCCCGAGTCGAAGTCTGTCACCGTCACACCTGGACATGGAAACTTCCGCCTGCCCGACTAGCCGGTAGATTTATTGACATATAGCAAGTACATGAATTTGTCTTGTTATTATTTAATAATTCTACGCCAGATATCTCTGTAGAGAAGTACAGAGGTTTGCTGTCTGTGTGGTTGCCAAGCGGGACGCCATTCCGGATGACATCACCATCACCACATCTGCCACAGTACAGACTACACGCTATATATATACCTGTTATTATTATCAACATCCAAGCTGAACAGTCAACCGCACTAACCGTCTCTCGGACAATCTTGCAAAGCAATTGGAGCCCCCTAGATACCTAATCCAGGACATACTTCCATGGCTGAGGGATATGAATCTCTCCGATGTTCCCCACTCCGCAGCCTCTCTTATTAGGTAATAATGTCTGTTCCAGCGAAAAAGTCCCCGAAGGGAAGGAATCAAATTCATGGCACGTCACATCATAGTAGTATTCTTGCTATTTGCGTTTCATATCAAGTCGTCGCAACGATCGTATTCCTTCCTCCCATCAGATAGACAAATTATGATATGACTGAAGGAGTTGAGTTATACAAATGACAATGCAAGACGAACAGCAGTGCTCATGACGTCATTCCGTAGAATTTTTCGCACATAGAATCAAACAATGGCAGGACTCTCCGTAGGGAGTAACTGGGCTAGGTACCGTAGCAGACCACCTAGGTTCATTCATGTCAAACAGCAATGTTCCTCGTTAGGTACCTGATTGATTGATACCCAAGGTTTAAACTTCAAATTCCCATGCGCTAAATTAAATTAGGTAATACTACCTACTCACGTGACTAGTACGATACAGCTAAACTAATACTCTGATCTGATTGGTGCGTAGTATAGCAACTCTATAGAAATTCTCCTGTCGGCAAGGTGAAACAAAAAAACAATAAATATACTTAAAAAAAAAAGGAAAGAAATAACGAATGAAAATTCTGAATGAATTATTGAATGAATGATTCAAGCGGAACGTTAGTACATTGCATTACTATACTATACTTTAGAGGGTGTTGTATAGGTAACGATATCTTTCTCGACTGGTCATGGATAAAATATATATATATTTTCGAAAATACCCACCATTACGCATAACAACCACACAAAGATAAGTATATAACCTGCTTGCTTTTTCTTTTTCTTTTTGACTAATTCTACAACTCGCATTTGACAAAAAAACAATTTTTTTTTCAAAAAAAAAAAAGAAAAAGAGAAAGAAAAAGGCCCGAGTAAAAGTCCACTGTCCAAGACCTGATCACTGCCTATCTGCTACCCTCCTTGTCTCGCGCATGACCGTTGAAATTGCTTTGCCGACCAAACAGCAACAGGAAAAAAGAGTCTGTGTAGTGTAAACAAATTCAGAGGTATCAATCACATTACGCACGTACTTATGAAGATCTATATCTGTATATACTATACTACCGATAAGAATGTAATGAGCGTGAATTTTGTTTTTGCTTGCTGTCAACAATAAAATGAACTAAATAAATGAATAAAGAAAACTATGTCCAGTTTTGTTTTTGTTTTTATTTTTTTTCCTTTTGACGTGTGTATGTATATCGTTTTTCTTTTTTTTCTTTCGCTCGTCATCATTGCTCAAGGGTATCTTATCCTATCTCATCTTATCATCTTCCATATTCGTCGTGATTCTATTTTCGTATCCATCCAATTCAGCCGTGACCAGATGTCTTATCGTCGCCGTCGCGTAGCTGCTACGCAACTACGACAACTGCTCGGCCCAGGGAGCTGCACCCGGCTGCACCTTGTTCAGCCACTGCACCAGCTCGATCAGCTCCTTGCGGCGCTCGTCTTCCAGCTGGTCCTCGTCCCCGGTCAGCACGGCCTGGAAGACGGGCAGAAGGTTGGGCGTCAGCTGGCGGACGGTGGCGTCTTCCCATTTGTCTGTATTCGCATGTTAGCAACTGTCCAATTTGAATCCACGCATAAAGGAAATAGGGTACATACACAGCTGGCAGATCATCCGGTACAGAGGCTCGTTCTCCTCATAGTCGTTCTTCAGAGGCAGAATGCCAACGATCGCCGGCAGAACATCGCCCACCGGAACGTTGTCACGGTGCTTGAGGATCATCCGGCTCAGGCAACCCGTGGTGTTGTCCGGGAGTCGAGACACCTCCTGCTGCAGGCATGGCTCCAGCTTGCTCAGGATCGTGGGGTATTCCTTCACGATCTCAGCATCCGCGTTGGTGAACTCCACCAGCCGACCGATCGCGTAGGCGGCGTTGGACTTGGTCTGCGGATCCTCGTCGCTGAGACGGTGGATCAGCAGCCGCAGGAAAGTAGACGTATGCGGAGTCACAGCGCCCTTCATGCCAGTGATGCACTCGGCTAGCACACCAACCGCCGTGGCGCGCTCAATGTTCTCGCTGCTGCCAGCAAACCGCAGGATGGTCTTCTCAAAGATCTTCCACAACTCAGAAAAGCTCTCGCCCAGCGCGGCGGCCAGACCAGAGACCACGTCGAGCGCCCGGTCGATGACGATCCAATCGAACTCCGAGGTCTCTTCCAAGGCCTCTTGAGCATCCTCCTCGTCGCCAAAGTCCTGCTGGCAGGGATGCTTCTTGTTGATGATGCTGGTAACCTGCTGAATGACACTCTGCAGCACATTCTCGCTGGCAATCAGGGCAGGGCCAGTGTATCTCAGGTTCTCAGCCAGGTTGCCGCAGAGGTCAGCGACAGTAGCCCTTTGACGCAGTTAGTGACCTGCACAGTAATTTGCTTGATTTGAAGACAAAATTTGTAAGAAGATATATATCAGATAATAACGTTGGAAAAATCGTTTTTGACATCAATCGTGCGATGCACGTCTGAGTGAGCTGGGATAACGAGTGTGTCATCATAAAAAAAAAAAGAGCAAACAGATGCAAGCTGCAAAAATACATACCTGTCTGATTCATCGGTCCACATCTTAAGGGTAGTCGTCATCAGAATCTCGCCAAACTTCTTCACCTCGTTGGCAGGCTGCACCTGCAGAGGCAGGCCAGGCTTCCACTTCTCCATCTGGCCGGTCTCCTCAGCAAGCGCAAACAGAGTAGCGTACGCGCGGTGCAGCGTGCTGATAGTGCTCTTGCGGACGCCCTCGTACGGGTGCTCCGCCAACGGCAAAATCAGCTCGATGGTCTTCTCAAAGTAAGGGAGATAAGCGCTCTTGGTGTGGCTGATCAGGTCTCCAATCACCTCCACGGCAATCTCCTTCTCCTGGGCCAGAGGAGTCACCGTAGTGAAGTCCTCCCAGTCATCTTCCTCGTCAAGGTCGATATCTTCGATGCCATCCTCATCGTCATCAGGCTCAGCGACCTTGACTTTCTGCCCAGCAATGCTGACTTCCTGGCCAACCAGGTCCTTGGCAGAATTGCCCAGCTCAACCTCGAGGTCTGCTTCTTCCTGTTCAATACAGGCCGTGAGACCCTTGACGACACCCTCCAGGAATGGCTTGAAGTCCTCGCCGTAGACCTTGGAAATAGCACCCCAGAGGATGTAAGTGCTCTCCTTAAGTCGGGAGTGGTCCAGGTGGAGGGCCTCTTCACTGGCTCGCATGAGAGGCTCAACATAGGGCTGGTAGTGCTGGGGTCCGGCAGAGGCAGACATCTCACCCATCGCGTCGATGACGCTGGCACGCAGATCCAACTCCTCCTCACTCTCCTTCTTCGTGGCAAATTCTTGCATGAGGTGCATCGACTTCTCAAAGTACGGCAGGAAAGCCTCACCAGCCGACGACGCGAGAGAGCCGATCGCACTGGCGGTCAAGGCCTTGATCTTGTAGTCGGGGTGCTCGAACAGCTTGTGCAGGATAGGGACCAGCTCGTCCTGGTACGGCACGACGTCCTTCTCGTCGAGGCCATCCACGACGGTGTCAATCGCGCTGACAGCAGCCTTCATGATGTCAATGGTAGGGCCAGTTTCCTCGCCCTTGTAGTTCTGCATGGCGCTGGCCAGGTTCTGGACCAGCAGGGGCATGAGCTTCTCGTGCTCCCTGCTCACGTCCTCTGCGAGATCATCGGCCAGGCGAGCAACGCTATGCAGGGCCGCTTGACGGACCTTGGGTTCCTGGTCGTTAAGGAGATGCAGGACCATTGGGATGATCTCCTTGAACTGGGTGCTGATGAAGTCGGGCGCACCCTCGACACTCATTCCCAGGGCCAGGATACCAGCGCGACGGTAATTGGCATTCTCGCTGTTGAAGTACTGGCCCAGAGACTGGAGCAGAGGCACCACAACCTGGCTGGGAGGCAAGCTTTGAGAGAGCAAGTCGAGGAGACCGAGAGCAGAGCGCGCCGGTGTAATCTCATCTTCGTCGTCGGCATCGTTCAGCTCCGTGACAATGTGGAGAGCCGTGCGGGTGAGCTGGTCCGCAATGCGCATGCCCTGCACCTTGAGCTTGCGGTACCTGACACACTGCATCAGGAAGCTAAGCGCCTGCGTGCGGGTATCCTCCGCCAAGTTCGTGTTGGCAGCAATCTCATTCATGAAGGTCACGAGATCCTTGAGGTGAGGGTTCATGAGCTGCGGGTCGCAGCCCAGGAGGGTCTGGAACACCTCAAAGGCCTGCATGACGCGGTCCTCGTCACCCTCGTCGATGGCATCCTTGAGGACGGCAACCATGGCGGGGAAGACCTCCTGGAACGCCTTGACAGGAGCGGGGTCCTCCTCAGCATCGAGGTGCATGGCGAGCTTGCTGAGAGCCAGCAGGGTGTTGATGCGGACCTCAGCACTCTCAGGATCGCGGATGGTCTTGCTGAACAGGTTGAAGAGGTCCTTGAACCTCTCCTCAAAGCCCTCGCCCAGGGTCTCCAGGATAGCAAACAAGATGTAGATGCCAATGGCCCGCTCATCCTTGTTTCCACTCGACGCAGCCTGCAGCAGGAAGTTGGGCAGATCCGCCCACTCGCCATCGGGGAGGTCGACCTTCGCAATCGAGGAGATCAGACGGGCGACAGCATGGCGCACCAGGTCCGTGTTGTCGCCCAAGGTCGCCCGCAGCAATTGTTCGCGGATCTGAGGCTTCTGCTCGGCAGGGAGTTTCACCCAGTGTTTTCCCACCAGGGACCGCGCCTCCACGGCGGCCAGCTGTCTCAGATCGGCACTGTCATGGGAAGTTGCGATCTGGATGAGGAAAAGAAAGGCCTCTGGTTTGTTGTAGAACTCTCGTTGCAGGACGCCAGTGGCCTCCTTGACGTTACCCTGACCAGCTGCAATGACCTGTCAGTCCCCCGCATGGTGGAAAAGGAGCACAGAAAACCATTCGACGCAGAGACTTACGGTTCAGAACAATCTGCAGCTGCTGCAGAAATCGCTGTTGATCCATGACAGGCAGCTAGAAGAGAAGACGACGCCAAGCGCCGCTGCGACGCAGAAAAAAAACTGAATGGAATGTGGGGTTGTCACAAAGAGGTCTGCTCTGTGGACAGGGGTATATTCACATGCACACACCACTCACAACCACTCGAAAATCTCAAGCAGTTTGAGTCAAATAGAAGGGAGGGAAAAGTAAAAGAAAAGGAGTGTGGGGTGGAGGGAGGGAAAGAGATAGGGGAAAAAAAAAGGACGAGGGGAGCGATGGTGGTGTTTGTAGATAAAAAATTATTTTTTTTGGTCCGTTGCTCCTGGCGCGTCTTAGTCCCTCCACGTGTGGCCTTTCTGGTCGCGCACCCCGCCGCCGCCCGAGGAGAGCAGCCCAACCACGGCGATCAGCACAGTGGCCCACACGACGCGAAGACTATATTGTTTTCTCTTTTGCCTTTTACTTTTTTTTTACTCTTCGCCTCGTTAAGCTTCGCCGGGTGGAAGAGGATTCACTAATTCGCCACTCATCCAATGCTCTTGTGTTACTTAGCTGTACTAGAACAAAAGCAGAGGGAAAAGGGCTCTCCTTTACCATCCGTCTGCCACAGTGGCGCATAAATCAAAAACCCAAATCACCAACGTGCTAGACGAAAAAAGGACTCTATTGCCATTATTGGTTTGATTGGTTTGGGGTACTTCATTATATAACTATATTCTCCTGCAGGTACTTCCTCAAGGAATCCGATTTGCAATGGTTGTGACCAAAATCCTCCATGCTGCCATTCTCCGCTAGCTGAGTCGTGGCTATATACAAGAAAAACCTGTAGATCCCATCCATCCCAACAAGATCAAACTCCAGCCCAAAACTCCAATATTGTTCGTCTCTTCTGTTCCCGAGAGGTGTCTAAATCAGACGTACGCCGTAAAGGATAGATTGATGCTCGATATTCACTCTTCGTCAGAATCATAGTCCTCGTCCATCAGTAGAGACCGGTATCCTCGCGCCGTGAGGTTTTCTTCCAGTCCGCCGTCAGACTCGGGATCCGCATAGCCTAATCCAGTTAGCAAGGTCTGTCGATTAATGGAAGACGCGCGTGGGTCCAAGCAAAGGAGTTACCTTCTCCACCAAAGTAACCGAGGGCAACCGGCAAAAAGATGAGGGCGTGGGTCGCGGCAAAGATCACCAGGGCCAACCAGACGCGGAAGTAATAGATCTCGAAGATTTTGCTGCGGGTAAAGGCCAGGACACACACGCCCAGCAGCTTCGTGACTGTGATTCCGCTGAAGACACTGCCTCCCACGTTGACCAGGGCAGTCCATGCCCGCGCGTCCTTCCCCCGGAACTTCGTGGGTACTCGATCCAGGATGTTGCGCGAGGGGAACATAAAAGCCCGCGCGATGTGAGCACAGAACTCAACGCCAATTCCCACACAGATAACCAGGTTGACCAGCGACACGGCGTTGAGAGATACGCCGGTGACAGCCATCGTGCCCGCGATATCCACGACAATCATTACCACCGTCATGGCGACGACAGCCCCAGTGGCGACGGATCCCAACAGTATCGAATTCACCACGAAGATGATCGCCACCGCCGCGCCCAGGAGAGTGCCAGTAAGACGGACAATGGAGGCATACTGATCGAAAAAGATGTAGAATTTGGAATAGGGAAAGACATCGATATTGTGTCTGTTGGAAATGTCACTGGCAATGCGCCGCGCTGCCGCATAGGCATTGATAAAATCGGCTTGACTCTTCAGAGGAGTGTGACTTGTCCGGAAGTGGCTTGCGTTGGTCATAATGTGCTCTCTGTCGATGACCAGAGCATTGCTGTACGGGGCTTTGCCTCCGAGAGGACAGGATGAATCCGTCGGTGCATCAATCCACTTCTCGACGTAGTGAATGAATTCCTTGCCCTCTGGCATGCCGTAAAGCGTGATGTTCCACGGAGGATTCCGATCCTCAAAGCAGATCTTGCCATCTTCATAGCAGCAGTCCTGCTGCGGATTCAGCCAGTAGAAGAAATCATCAATCCAACTCGCTGCCGACCCCGAGAGATACGACACGTTGGGCCGTTTTGATTCTTGCTCCAGGACAAATCCCAGGGAAAACTCCTCGCACGTCGAGAATCGTCCGCAGAGCTGTTGCTGATGAATTCGCTCCGTGACGTTAACATCCCGGGTGACAAAGTACACCGGCGGACCGGTCTCAAAGTAGTCATCAAGGTCATTGAAGTACTGAATGAGGTAGGAATCGCTGGGGATGGCGATGCGCTGGTCCAGACCTAACGCTACCTCCGGGATCAATGCCAGGCCGGCAGTAAACAAGCCAAGGAAGATGATCACAACGGCGACCTTGACCTTCCGCCCGAGAAGGAGAGGTGCATAGACTCGACGGACAAATTTCTGCAAGGCACTCTCCCAGACGAGATCATCATAGATATTTCCATCTGGCAGTCCAGATGACGTAGCTTTGCGGACGGTCAGGCACGGTATACAGTCCGCACGCAGGCTCTCCACCCGTCTCTGGTTCAGTGCCAGGACGGAAATAAACATGGTCACTTGTAGAATAGCATTGATCAAGACGGCTCCTGCAGCATATGCCGCGAAGTTCTTCACGGCTGGCATCCCGACAAAAGTGCCCATTGCAAATGCCACGGTCTCCGTGATAGCTGACAGGAGGATACTGGGACCCATTCTCCCCACAGCGCGAGCAACCCGCTCATCAATCTCCTCATCTGGATGGCTGAGATTGACACGGTCAAACTCGTGAACGATGAGGAAGATGTTATCAACACCGACCGCGAGCACGAGGAATGGGATCACCTCGGCAATAATCAGCGTCACCTTGATTCCCGCAGCGGAGAACAGCCCTACAGACGCGGAGACGGACATTAGGACAATCAAGATTCCGACAATGCCGAGAGTGAACTTGGACTGGACCAAGGCATTGGCGGGGTTCGTCAACAGGGCTTTCCAAGTAAGAGCGCCGGAACCCAGTGCCAAGGAAGCGTAGATAAACATGATCACATAGCTGATCACAACGATCTTGGCGTCGGTGTTGCTAGATTTGTTCAACTCCTCTTCCAGACTGGACTCAGTGTTGAAAGAGACACGCAGATCCCGTTCTCTGGCCTCTTCTTGGACAACCATGAGGACGCGTTTTAGACTATCCTCCCAATCCATGGCATTTGCCTCTCCCTCGGTTCCCTGGGCGAAATTGTTAACGACCCAGGTAACAATGAGTGCGCGGGCATCCAAAACGTCGCCAGTCTCTTCATAGCCACCAAGGATCATATCGGGCTTCAGTGGTTGTTGGAAATCCGGCAGACAGCTGACATCGCCCGGAGAGGAGGCACAGTGTGTGATCTGCTTCTGCCAGTCTCTGGGCGAGACATTGGAGAACGAACCACCAAAGTAGCCTGTCAAGGACTGAACCACGCAGGCGTCTCCGGTGGGTTTGAAGCACACATCCTCCAGGGCCAGTCCCCTGTTCAGAGAAATCATCCGACGAACCCTGCTCTCCACATCAAACCACCAGCCAAGCGTGTCGTAGCTTAACACGGGGCCAGTGTCGTTCACGAGAAAGGCCTGTTCGGCACGATAGAAAGGACCAAAGTTCCTGTCAAAGAACTCCTTCTCCTGGGCGGCCGCTGAGGTTGGGCTAACCCACAGGCGAACTGGATCCGTTTCGACCGCAAACCTAAGCCACCCCAAGCTTAGCAAGCCAACGACTATCACGCTGGTTGAAATAGTGAGGGCCGGAAAGCGGGCGCAGAAACCGCCTAATCGACTGAATACGACGTCAAACACGGCATTCAGTTTGTAATTGCGGCGAGGTGTTTCCAGATAACCTGCCGCCTGGACAATATCTCCCTCATCCTCGTCGTCGCTGGGGGCCGGGTCCTGCAACAGCCGAACGCGCTCGGGCTTGCGATAGCGCCGATCACGATAGGTGACATAGCTGGACACCAGAACGACGAGCAATAGGAAGACGGAATAGATTAAGATTACGGCAAACGACAGGCATGGCAGGAGCCCGACATGGCAATATTCCTGCGTCGTCACATCCGGTAGCTCCGGACACACGTCAGGGCAATCAACACAGGAGCATCGATACGCAGGATCGGAATCGTTGCAGGCTTTTGGTTTGATGGGCAATGCCTGCATACCGTGCGGATCCGGCCCACTCGGCTCGGTTTCGTAGTTGATCTGGAAGGGGCTGCCCAGCAGCTTCTTGTCGCCCAGAAACTTCATGAATTGGGTATAGTTCTTGGCTCCACCGCCGATGAAGTCCATCGCCTTGCCACCAGACGCGCCATTCTTGACATTCTTGCAACTATCGTAAAAGCCGCTCTGGAATTCCTCGGACCACAGGTTCTCTAATTCGGTTACCAGGTATTTGCCAGCGCTGTTCTTCTCGGTCTGCGTGACGTTGACGAAGAGGGACTGATCCGGGGAACAGGTGAAGGTGCAGAAGATGTTGAAAAAGTTGTCCTTGCATGCAGGACAGGAGGCGATGATACCCTCGGCCAACCTCAAGTTCTTCTTCAGGGCATCCACCTGGCAAGCCAATCTGTGTCAGCGCAGCTGCATCCTTAACAAGGGCCAGCTCAAGAATAAGCTTCTCACCTGTTCATCTGTACAACAGACTGGCCCTTCCGCCCATTTATTTCCACAAAGGCCGACCAACTTCTCTCTGAGAGCATCATCCGGCTCGTGTGCAAGTCCATTATCCGGACAAGGTAAGTCACCGCCAAAAAACCCCTTCTTGCCGCAGTGGCCTCGAATTGCACAGCGGCCTTTTTCGTGTAATTTGGTCACACCCTGTGCCGCGACTCCAGAGAGCAGCAGTGCGGACAGCAGGCCTGTGACCATGGAGGTAAACTGGAACCCCCGCATCCTGGCGAGAGTGTCGCCTGTGACAGGGCCAAACCAGACCAGCCGGTGTAGGAAATCCGCAACTTCTTCCCCTGACTTCCTCTCAGCAAGTGCACAGCACCTCGCCCATTCAGATAAATAGCCTCAAGAACGCGAGCAGGCGGTGGAGGGCGGTCAACAGCTGTTGGGAAGGGTGGAAGCTGTCGTCCGGTTGCTGGGGTGTACGACGACACGGGAGCTTCCGAGCACCACCCAATGATGCGGCTGTTAGCTCTGCGGCTGGGACTGGGACTGAAATGTGGAGGACAGGTAGAATGCAGCGACGTTAGCTCATGGGGAACGGCCGTAGAAAAGCGCGAGATAGTGGAGTAGGATCATTGACACTTGATGGGGTTGGAGACGCGGATCAGCCGGTCGGACAAGACTGACGATGATGATGTTGCCGGATGCGCGTGCATGTGTGTACGTAAGCAACTATGCCACCAGAGTGGGGAGCCCGCACAGAGCGCTAACTTTGCCGGGCCGCCCGGGCCAGGCACCAGCGACCAGTTACCCAGGCTGGGACAGATCATGAGGATGATAAGAAGCGCTGATGGATGAGCTGTGCGCCAGGATCGCCCTCTCAGGCGGGCTCAACCCCTGGCCTGGGCCCGAAACTGCCTAACAAGTAACAACAGAGGTACACCTGATGGAGCCACGTGTTGTCCTGGCTCGGAACTGCTGGCAGATAAGCGACTGGCTGACCTGACTGGTCCGAAGTGTCCATCGCTACATAAGGTCGAGCTGAGAAAGATTCCCTCAAATCGAAGCAAGGGGTTTTATGGGGCTGCCAAGCAAAATATGCCATGTTCGCCTCTTCACACCGTCATTTGAAAGAACGTGGATCTTATCATGCGCAGTGGAAGGCTTGATGCGCAGCTGGTGAGAGGGATAAAAGGGTGATAGGCTTTGTCAAATCGATAAAATCCTCCGGGGTATGGGCATTGTGCCTAAAAAAAAAATAATGCAGGTTCATTCAAGTCAATAGTCACTTTATCAAGGCGATGAGAAACTTTATTCAGTCTACGGTTCTATCACGTGTCCCCATGTCTTGATCACCTGATGACTGTCCTGCAGCAAAAGCAAAACAAAATCATTGCAGGTCGTCTAGAAGACCAGTCCACCGCCATCGACCACAATATCTGTGCCATTAATGTAACTGCCGCCGATATCACTGCACAACAACACAACAGGTCCTGTCAATTCTTCGGGCGACCCCATCCGACGCATCGGGTTGCGCTCTGCCCACACCTGTCGCCATGGCGCCAGCCGCTCGCCCTCGTTGAGGACCGTGTCCATGTATCCAGGAGAGATGGTATTAATCCTGATGCCGTACCGGGTCCATTCCGCGGCCAGACTGCTCCGCATGTGCAGGAGCGCGGCCTTGGAGACGTTGTATGCCGCCTGAGGTTGGGGGTAATTGACCCGGTGGCCGCTGATGGACGAGATGAATATGATCTTTCCTCCCTGGCCGCTTTCAATCATTTGCCTGGTGCTGTTAGGATGGAACCAACAAAAGAATGGAAAGGCAAAAAAAAAACGGTGAACTGGATGTGCATACCTGCCCACCGCCTGTGCAGCGATCCAGCATCCAGTGGTATTCACATCCAGCACTTTTTTCCACGCGTCGAGCGTCATCTCTGTTGAGTTGACACAATTGACAATACCGGCGAAGCAGCACAGGATGTTGAGGTTACCCAGTTGTTCCTTGGCATGTCGTACCGCAGCCTGCATACCTTTCTCGTCCGTCACATCACAGCCTTGTGTAATGATCTTTGCGGCAGGGAACTCCGCACGGAGTGCCTCGATGGCTTCTTTTCCTTTTTCAATTGCTGCTGGCAAGTCGAATAGAGCCAGTCCAGAAAGGCCATGCTCAAGCAGTGCTCTTGCGGAGGCGAGGGCCAGCATCCCGGCACCCCCAGTGACTAGACTTGATTAGCAGTGAGTTCAACGCGAAATCGTTTCATCGCCCATAATCTCATAAAGGAATAAATAAAGATGTCAGATACATTAAATCAAGCAGACATTGAATGACAAACTCAAACAACTCTCCCAGGATAGGTAGTTCTTATAAAAGCATGAAGGCAGAGAGGCGACTTACAAACCGCATTGCCATGCACCGCAAACCTCATAGCCGCCCGCTCAGCGGGACTGCTCTGCGCAGGATACGGCTTGGGCGGCGGCGTTAGGGACGAAGCCATGTCGAACTCGCCCAGCTGCATCCAAGGAAGTCCGGGGACAACATCGGGGGCGGGAGGTCGAGAATTCTGCTGTTGCGGATTGCTGCCGTTTGAGGGGGCCATTTTCTCGTGATCTACACTAGATGTCGAAAGACGAACACTGCAGTGAAATGAATTAGAATGGGGGAAACTATTTGCTTGTTAGTTTGGCATTCATCGTATTTCTGTGCGAGTAATTCAATGGAGACGGAGACCGAGAGATATTTAGTCAAGAAGACAGTGAACGAACGACAGCATAACCGTCTAGTACAGCACTTGTGTTCAACAGAAAATTGAATGATGTCTCATATTATACACAGTACATACCTGACTCCTCTATCTGGTCACCAATCCTGTAAGAAATAACAGTTATTTTTGCTTGTCACTAGTGCGTTCTCTTCTCCCTGTAGAAGTGCAGTATGACAAACGATCCGTGATTGGATCAATAAATAGACGATGCGTTGGCAGTGTTTATTATGTCTACGGATCGGGGCACTGTGCCCCGAGGATGGCTCCTCTACCGAGAAATCCCACGAGGCATGTGCTCCCGGGGGTACTAGGTAGGGAAGGTAAAGCAAATGCAACCGTGTAAAAGGCAGGTCTATCGGACTGTGGGATTCTAATTTCTGACTCCATTGTCCATACTGTGTACTCATACTGCCGTGGATGTGGGCAAGATTGCCGATGGCGGGGTGAGGGCTGTTCGCATCCCAAAAAAGGAAGGTCTCCCGGTCAGTCGTCCACGTGGGAAGAACAACTGTAACTACCTGTGATGCTCTCTATACCCGTTGACGACGTGCATGGACATTACTTGAGGGTGTATTGAAAATCAATCTAATCGCCTCGATGCTGTTTTTACACGAAGTTTTTGATACTAGGCACATACGAGTCTAGTGAATCTATTGAATCTGTTCTATGTGGGTAATTTCAAGCAGTCTGAACCAAGCCTTCAGGTACATGCGCAGGCGCAGGTGGATGAATGGACATGCCTTGACTCTTCCTCTCCCTCCTTCCCTCCCTCCTTCCCTCTCTTTCTCTTGAGCTGAAGTAGGAAGGACGATTCTACAATTGTTTTGCAAACAGAATAAGATAAACGTCGGGTGAATGGTCGATAGCAGACTGCAAGCGAACGAATCCTACGACGACTTTACACCCTACATTTGTTGCAGAAAATGTCAAACAGCAGATGCCATGGCGTATCTTTCTGAGTGCAAAATTCAGACAATGTTTATATTCTCCCATCTCGAGAGCGCTCCACTTCCAGCCGGAAAAAGAAACCGACGGATATACCCAACCGTGGATCGTACACAATTTCCCCCTCTACCCTAATCTGGTACAGACTGCTGGAAAAAGAGATGATGCTTGACTTTCCTGTGGCTTTTACTTCCACAGCCACGTGTGTCTTTCGCCCCTGGCGATATTATGGCACGATGACGGAGCTGCGTTGCCGAAGTCAAAATGACATCAGCTTTATAACAATCGATAGGGCGCAGACACGACTCGATCGTTCTTATCTGAAGCTACAGACATCGCCTGAGAAAGACTGCGTTCATTGTCGTCCTTATCTAAGTGTTTTTTACCACCATAAACAATAGTGGAATAGTGGAACCGAAATGTCGCGAAACGTCTGCATCACCGCGTCCGAAGGCAACACCGGCTTCTTGATCGGTGAGCTGCTCATGACCGATCCGGCCTTCAAAAGCCAGATCACCTCCGTCACCTGTCTGGCCATGAACCCGGACCATGACCGTTGCAAAGAGCTGGGCAAACTCGGGGCCAAGATCGTGCGCCACCGTTTTGGCCGGGTGCGCGACACGGTCAAGACGCTGAAGGAGACCAAGGCCGATACTCTGTGCCTGGTGCCGCCGGCGCACCGCGACAAGGTCGACATCACCATCGAGCTTATCGAGGCGGCCAAGAAGGCCAATGTGCCGAATGTGCTGTTCCTCAGCGCGGCCGGCTGTGATCTGGCTGAAAGAAACACCCAGCCCCGGCTGCGCGAGTTCATCGACCTCGAGGCTCGGTTCATGAAGACCATGGGCGATCCCACCACGTCGACGGGGAATTCGCCAGCGATTATCCGGTATTCTTCTTCATATAGCCATGTATATGACTGTGTCTTCTGACTGACCTCGCAGGTCCGGGTTCTATGCAGAGAACCTTCTTCTGTACTCACCACAAGCGCAGGAGGAAGGATTGCTTCCGATCCCGATCGGACGAAACCATAAATTCCCGCCTGTTGCGCTGGGAGTGAGTTTGTATATTAATGTATTTCTGAATGGTGTTAACTGACATCTCTTAGGATGTGGCGCAGCTTGCGGCCAATGTGCTGGCAGGCAAGGGCAAGCATGGGTTTAATGACAAGCACCGGGGACAGCTGATGGTGATGACGGGTATGAACAACAGTTCTTTAAGTATTGCGTCACATACTCACAGTTCTGCAGGCCCGACGCTTCTCACCGGCGACGAGCTAGCGAAGGCAGCCAGTGAAGCGCTGGGCGCGAAGATGGAATTCGAGGACGTTAACGAGTACGTATAAAAAAATACAATTAATCGACCTTAGTATAAAATCATGGAAATCTCACATGAATCCACTCAGAAACGAAGCCCGCCGCGTCCTCCGCGATAGCGAGGCGGACGAGTCCGAGGTGCAGTATCTGCTCGAATACTACTCCCTCGTGCGCGAGGGCAAGACCAACTACATCTCGACCAATACTTTCCACGACGTGACGGGCGTCCATCCGCAGGAGCCGCCGGACTTTTTCAAGACGTACAGGGACGAGTTTCTGCCGAAGAGGCCGGCTAAGAAACCGAAGGTTGATGGGAAGTAGACAGTAGAAGTAGACATATGTATTAGACAAAAAAAAGGCAAAGAATGAGACTAGACTGATCTTATAGATTAAGGTAGTGATATGTGCGATAAAAAATAGATATTGATCGATCACATTCTGCCCATTCGATATATAGATTTCCTTTTCTCTGGTTCTAGTTCTCTCGCCGGGCATCTGGTCTCTCTCCTAGGCTACGTGGATATCTCTGGTTCAGCCAGTGGCCAGCACCTTCAACCGAGACTCGTCCCCGTTAAAGATGTCCGAGTCGCCGCCGTAGGTGTAGTGGTCGCTGTTCTGCCAGATAGTCTCCGTGCTCCAGCCACCGGGGATGGTGCCCGGGGAGCTGCCGTAGCGAGCGAGGACGAGCGGGCAGGTGCTGGAGAATTCCTTGCTGTTGCCCGTGCAGGTCGTCCACCAGTCGGCCGTGGAGTAGATCATCGGGTAGCGACCAGTGGCCGAGTGGTAGGTGTCAACGAAGTCCTTGATCCAGCTCACCATCGAGGACTGGCTGAGGCCATAGCACTCGTTGGATCCCGATGGGTTATATTCAATATCGAGCATTCCGGGGAGAGTAATGCCGTCCTTGGACCAGCCACCGCCGTGCGCGAGGAAGAACTTCGCCTGCTCGCTGCCTGAGCTCTTATCCGGGTGCGCAAAGTGATACCCGCCCCGGATAAATCCGGCCTTGGTGGCACCAGTGTAGTGGGAAGAGAATTGGGAATCGATGTAGGTGGTACCTTCGGTAGCCTGACAAGAACACATCAGTCTGGAGTCCTAAAACGGCAATGATGATGCTATACAAAATGCGGGAGCGGTGAAGAAGGCGGCCGAATACTGCCTGACATACAGTATATCCGCGGCGTAGGCTCGGCCTGGTTTCGGCAGAGGCCGGACGCCCTTCATGCCCCTTATCTTGCGACTGATTGAATGTCTGGTCATGCACTCACCTTGATAATCACAAACCTCGCACCAGATTTGTATGCCGCGTCGAAGTCGACGGAACTCTGATAGCTCGAGATGTCGAAGCCTTGCACCGATGCGCGAGCAAGGCCGACGAGAGCAGCCGATACAAGGGCCGTAGTGAGCTTCATGATGGCTGGATAGATAAATAGGCGATTGTTGTTGAACTATCAGATATCCCTCGACGACGCCTCTACTGAGGATGGGACGAGGCTATTTATACGTTATTGTTATCATCCCCAGTCCTCTATTATTCAGGCCTCTGTGATTAATGCCGTGAAGAAAAACGAGGTAGACTATCCCTTCATCCGTTAAAGTGCATGAAGGCTGAAGTCAATTCATCCCCCGCCATGCCGAGGGAGATCGACCCGTCTCACGTTTTGAAACATGCTTATACGAGATGGGGCCGTTGGGGCCATCAATTATGCTTATCTCGTCGGAAAATGGTGCCACACTGGGCTGCAATTAGATGAAGGGGCATGAATGATCAACGGCACGTGCCTTAATTAGAAAAGGGTCCAGCCACGATGCGGGGTGGATGTATGAAGGCACCTGGTATCTACCAACCTAGGTACTTGACGGATGTAACCTCGTATAGCTGTGGATGGATTCTAGTCTATCATTGTTCAGCCTGAGAATTAAGGTTCATGATATGCAGGGGCAAAATCGTCAAGAAATCGCGAGATCGCTTGGAAGGGCAGCTGATGCGATCGTGTGGGTTTCTCCACCAATCACTGACCCCATGAGTTAATATTAGTTTCAGGAACGAGGACCCTTTCCCTCCTGCAACCCAAGGATCCGACATCTCGCTAATTATGGTCGTTTCGCGGTAGGAGAGGCTCGCTTCCATGCATATGCATGTCGCTAAATTCAGCTTCTTACATTCCTTTCTGTTTCTAAGCCACAGGCAAGATCTGGCAGTCATGTGGATCCCTCGTGTTTCGGGGATGTCCTGCAGTAATTAGTTGCGATACTTGAAGTTCAGCACAGTTCAGAGTACGGAGTACAGAAGACTGAGTTTGAGCTTGAGATTCTTATCTCAACTTGGCTTTTCTGGGGAAGTCTTGTTCATCAATAACAGTGCTTGGCTAGACGGTATACTCTCGGTTTCGGAAAAACTACGCGACAAGCGACGACAGGTCGCAGAACCTTGACATGGCGAGAGGAAGATCATGTAGATACCTCATAAATGAAGTCACTACTTCCTAGCATCTCCTCGTGAAAACGTAGCAGATACGAAGCGGCTATTCCAGGAGTCTAGAACATGAGAGGCTTTTACTTTCGCAGACTTCGCCCTTACCTACCTTAGTCGGGTAGTACAGCAGTCACCGGCCTCAGCTGGACCTTGAACAGTGCTTTCAGCCGTATTCTTGTAAGGCTCCTGTGTAAGAGACCATATCCATCTACCGTCCATGTTGTGAACAGTGCTGACCTTGGGTTTGTTCAGCTCTTGGCCCCCAAGCTTATACGAGCGGTCGATGACTCTCCTTCGCGACAAACTAGAATGTGATGTGCGCCACATGACTACTATTTTTGATTTCAATGTCCTGGCGCCATTTCAATCGCACATTGCAAGGTGTATGGAGGACATAGCAAGGCATTCGTCTTACCAATAAACAATGCCAGACCAGTTATGGCCAAGGTGCCAGCTTCTGTCGCGTGACCATCAACACTTGTAACCAATTCGGAGGTCGCTACAATTACATACCGTCAGTCTAGAAGTTTCCCTCCAACTAACCTTTCTGTTCCAGCTGGCGCAAAGGGAAATCAAATACCAGCATTCCAATTCCAAGGATTCTAGACTGGAACGATGATCCATCGAACCCCTGCTGGCAGCAAACACATAGTAATGGAGCATGCATCTGGTGTTCAGCTCCATCAGATATGGCCACTGAGCCCCAGCAGATCGCTTGTATCAAGTCTATATAACAATGCACATTAAGCAGATTGTACAGCTTCCGGTCTATAGCAGTATGTTTCAGGGCGGTGATGTCGGCCCTTATCACGAGTTAAAGTTATCGCGAGTCCCCCACATCAACATTCTTATCTGCGGGGATCAAGCGATCTGACCGCAATCCCTTCTCAGGCTGACTATAGCCTTCTGGCTCCAGAATTCTTACCCGAAGCGAAGATCACTGGCCAATACGACAATACGAGGAGCATCCGAACAAAGTATGGCCTCGAAGGAGCAACAGGCTGCCCCACAAATCCCAGGACTGCCGCTTGCCATCCATGGTTGCATTATCCACGCCTTAAGCGCAGACCGTGTCGAGATCCTCGAGAATACCCTGTTAATCGTGGCTGGCGACGGCACAATCCAAACGTTGGCCAAAGATGTCGACCGCAGTCGGGTCAACGATCTCGTGGTGGAGGCAGGCTACACCCTTGATGTAGTCACTGTCAAATATCTAGACCGCGGTCAGTTTCTGATCCCAGGGTTTGTCGACACTCACCATCATGCACCACAATGGGCACAGAGAGGAATCGGCCGCAACGTGAGTCTCCTTGACTGGCTTGAAAAGATAACATTTGCCCACGAAGCGCGCTTTGAAGATGCTGCGTACGCTCGTCGCATCTACACCGCTTGCGTCTTGGGAGGACTGAAACAAGGAGTGACGACGGCGTCCTATTATGGCAGTAGGCATGGCGAGGCGTCTCGCATTCTGGCAGATATCTGTCTCGAAATGGGCCAGCGAGCGTTTGTAGGGAAGTGCAACATGAACCGCAATGCACCGTCGTGGTACTGTGATCCAAGTGCTGCGGATTCGATCCGCGAGTCCAAGGAGCTCATTGCGCACGTCCGCCAAATCGACCCGGAATCGCGACTGGTGGCACCCATCATAACACCCCGATTCGCCATCTCCTGTGACCACGAGCTGCTGACCGGACTGGGTGAGATTGCCAGACAGAATCCAGAGCTGCCCATCCAGACGCACTTCAACGAGGCCGAACCGGAGATGAAGTTTACCAAGGAACTGTATCCCCAGTTCCGCAACGAGGCGGAACTCTACGAGCACTTTGGTCTGCTGGGCCCTCGCTCGATTCTGGCGCACTGCATCTACCTAAACGAGGAGGAAATGCAGCGCGTGAAGACGCTGGGGTGCGGTGTCGCACATTGTCCTATCGCCACTTCCACTATGGGCGACTTCATGGTGGCTCCTATACGGGAATACCTCCGCCGCGGCATCAAGGTCGGGCTGGGCACAAACGTCGGTGGTGGCTTCTCGTCCAGCCTGCTTGACGCCATGCGCCAGGCGTTTATCATCTCCAAGGCGCGCGAGACGCTGACCGGGGGCCGCGATCCGGCTTTGAGTCTGCACGAGGGGTTCTTTCTGGCCACACTGGGAGGTGCCCAAGTCTGCGGCCTAGATGACAAGATTGGCAATTTCGCAGTGGGCAAGGAGTTTGATGCGTTGGAGATCCACACGATCGATCCAGAGAGTCCAGGTGGCAGTCTTGGGGTCATCACACCGATTGAAGACGAGGACTCGACAGAGGTCATCTTTGAGAAGTTTCTGATGACAGGGGATGACCGGAATATCGCCAGAGTGTATGTGTGTGGGCGGTTAGTCAAGACTGCTTAGAGATATCCATTTGCAATAGGAGTGAATTATTGCTGCGGTTCATTCCTTGTTATTGCAGATCAATGCCGCGACAAAATACACACGAATACATACGCTGCGAAATTATCAAATTGCCGATGAAATGAAAGCAAAATGCCGGAATAACTAAATATCTCCTCTCTTCTACTCCATCAGTTCGCTCCGTCTATGGTCAACGTATAACCCGTTCTCCAGTTCATCCTCTCCAGAGACAAAACTACCACGCATTTAGTTGACTTTGAACCAGTCTATGCTACAGCGAGCTCCGTATTTAATCAAAGTTTACGGTGTTGTCAGTCTTGATATCTCTAGATCCAACCATACCCGGCCAGCCCTAACCCCAGGCCCTAAACCCTGATTCTATCCGGCATCGTCACCGGCCGGAGATACGAACCTCCGCTGCAGCGAATGAGGCGCCGATATCGCTGGGAAGGACGGCGTCGGCATTGTTTTGCCTCTACAACCGCATTCCTGACAATTAGCCATGCCCCGCATTTTGATTAGCCATCGCCATTTACCCCGACGGAGGGGTATTCTTTCTCCGACGGTCAAGCTTCAGATGGCGTGATATTGCTAACTGCTGGATTCAGGGATTTAATCCTAATCTTCTGACAGGATGACGGGAACATAGCATGCGCCATTCCTCCTGGAATGTTCTACTACTGAAGAGTCCTCCCTACCTACGACATCGTCTAGCATCTACACCAGCGTCAATATCGGTATCAATCGTCCCAAAACAGCCGTTTTCATCTCCCACCATGTCGAAGCCAATGAAACTCGCCATCCTCGATGACTACCAAAACCTGGCTCCGGCCAAATTTGCCCACCTGGTGTCGGCCGGCCGGCTCGAGGTGACCAGTTTCCCCGACACGCTCGACCCTCGCGTGCCCAGCGACAAGGCGGCTCTGATTGAGCGTCTGAAGCCGTTCGAGATCATCTCGACGATGCGTGAGCGGACGCCCTTCCGTGCTGACGTTTTGGCGGAACTGCCCAACCTCAAATTGCTCCTGACGACCGGGTTGCGAAATGCCAGCATCGACGAGGTTTTCGCTGCACAGCGCGGCATCGTCGTCGCTGGCACCACCAACGAGGGCCGTCGGCCGCCGGACGCGACGACGCAGCATACCTGGGCCTTGATCCTGGGCTTGGCTCGCCATATCGCGCGCGATGATGCTGCCGTCAAGAGCGGCGCCTGGCAGGGTTCAACGCTGGCACTTGGCCTTCCTGGTCTGACACTGGGACTGGTGGGACTGGGCAGATTAGGCTCTGAGACGGCGAGAATCGCCATCGTTGCGTTCAACATGAAAATCATAGCCTGGTCGGCGAACCTGACACAGGAGCGCGCCGACGAAACGGCAAAGAAGCTGGGTCTGCCAGCGGGATCGATTGTCGTGGCCCCGTCGAAGCTGGATCTGTTCCGGACTGCGGATATTGTCAGCGTTCACTACGTCCTGTCGGACCGGAGTCGCGGTCTGATCGGGAAGGAGGAACTGGCGGCAATGAAGCCCAGCGCGCTGCTGATCAACACGTCGCGGGGGCCGCTCATTGACGAGGCTGCGCTGCTGGAGACGCTCAAGGCAGGACGCATCCGGGGTGCAGCCCTGGACGTGTTTGACAAGGAGCCACTGGCGGCAGACAGCGAGTGGCGGACGACCCGATGGGGGGAGGATGGACGCAGCGAAGTGCTGCTTACACCGCACATGGGATACGGCGAGACGGACAATATCAACTCGTGGTACGAGCAGACGGCAGCGAATGTTGAACGGTGGCTTGATGGGAAGGAGGTTGTAAATCGGTTGAACTGATCTGAGTCATCCAAAGCAAGTCAGATGTATGAACTGTCACAGAATAGTCTAGTACAGTACAGCATAGGATACATGTAGCAAGAATATACCTGCCATGTCGTACCAGCATATAATGTTGTATACCATACAAGTTGTCTTCCGAATGGAATCAATCCAAGAAAGCTAATGGCAATCCTCGCCAATCCGTGCCATCCCGAAAGTCGGCGCCCATCCTCGGCGGAAAGGATGCCAATAACTGTGAACCCATTGAACCGAACATGAAGCTTCCTCGGTGGTGATTCCCCACTCTTGCCGACTTGATGTCTTTCTTCACGTGGAAATATGTCAACATGGATCGGCAAGAGATCTAGGTATTTGATTTCATTTACCTTTCTTGCCCTTTACCCTCTTCTTGGCTTTTATTTTCCTTTCTCCTCATTTCTCTCTCTCTCTCTTTTTTTTATATATATTTTAATTTATCGACAATGTAACGACCCATTGACAATCTCAATCGCTCATCTTGTCTTCCTTCCAAATCAGCCCCTCCTGAAAATCGCCCTGTCACCTCAAACTCATATCAGTCCATTCAGTCATTCATTCATTCATCCAATTCTTGCACTCTCATTATGTCCAATCCCTCCTCTCCCTCACACCCCAACCTCATCAAGGTCATCCGCGGCAGCGAGCCATTCAGCTCCAGCGCCGTCTCGCTGGTCGACCTCCCCGCGGGGGCGGTGCTGGCGCGCATGGACACGCACGCAACACCAGCACCAGCAAAAAAGTACACAACCGTGCAAACGGGCCGCGATACGCACATCGAGCTGAATTCCGATCTCGTCTTCTGCAACCACTCGTGCCGCCCGACCGTCGTGTTCGACACGCGCAAGATGGAGGTGCGCGTCGTCGACGACCGGCCGCTGCGGGCCGGCGATCCGCTCACCTTCTTCTACCCCAGTACCGAGTGGGAGATGGACCAGCCGTTTGAGTGCAACTGTCAGGCGGGCGAGGGGGTGTGCAAGGGGTTTATTTCTGGCGCAAAGGCCATGTCGCGTGAGCAGCTCGAGGGGTACTGGTTGAATGAGCATATTGTCGAGTTGTTGAGGGAGCGGGATGAACTGAACCAGGCGAGGTGACGGCAGCTATCTATTACTCTGAATTGACTGATAAAAATAGACGATGGACGGGTATAGACGACTGTACATAGCACATATCTGGAGGAGGAATACTGTACATAATCACTGCGGTATTGGGAAGAGTAGTATTTCGCTGAATGCTATCAAAGTTGTATTGTTTTAGTTGCTACACTCCACAATAGATACTCTACGGAGTATCAATCTATACTCTACAATTTAATTCTATTCAACACCCAATCCATGACTCAGTATATCTAACTACTCCAGCCCGTCTATACAAACCCTCGATACATATACCATAGCTCAGAACCAAACGAGTAAAGCAAAAAACTTCGCTACTGCTGCGCCGTGACCCAAATATCCTGCGCCGCCACCACCGTACTGACCACCATCGCGACACCCACCTGCGTCGGAGTTGCCCCGATCCAGCCGACAAACGACCCCGGGATGAGCAGATCGCAGCCATCGACGACAATGCGCTTGAGCAGCGGTGTCCGATCTGGAGTGTGCTTCCTGGCGAGAGTGTTTGGAGTCTTTTCGTCTTTTTCTGCTGATGGCGGCTCGCTGCCCTTCTTCTTTTTCTCTGACTCAGACTCAGGAACTGGCGACGAGATCAACGTCCAGATCGACCCGATTAGCGACAGCGTCAGCGCGTAGAACCAGAACTGGTTCGCTGAGACGAAGACGTCGCGACTCCAGGTCGTGCTCCAGATGCCCATTGCATCGAGCTGAATTCATTAGCAAGAAACATAAAAAGGGAATTTCATAGGTAATGCATGCTCACAATCGTCAGATCCTCCAACAGGAAATACAGCCCCAAACAGCTCCATTTTCCGGCTTCGACGGATCTCCAGATAAACCCTGACCCGGAATCGTTGCTGCTGCTGCTGCTGCTAGCTGACGCAGGAGACAAAGCAGCAAAAGCATGCTCAAACGAGTCGATAAACTTGAAGAATCGGAAATACCGTCGCGCTAGACAAAAAAAAATGGACATAGATAACAAAAATCAGGACCCGGAAACAAAGCAAAAAGCAAACTAAGAAGTATGTTCTTCTCATGTCATGTTTGTCTGGACCAGACTGGACTGGACTGATACTGTGTAGGTACAGCACTATACATACCCAACGCCAACTGCGTCTTCGCGACAGCGCACTGCACCGCCAGCGCCGGAGACGACGACATCGACACTTCGGACACGATCTGCGCCAGCGCTTGGAGAAGCCGGAGCAGCTTCTCCAGTCCAGCGGGGGAATTGTTGGTGAAGTTGGAGAATTGTTTCCATAATGGAGGTGGTGTAGTTGATGGACGAGGGGGAGGAGGGGAAACGGTCATGTTGTATTTTATTTAGAACTGATGATTTGCAGTGGAATATAGTTGTGTCACATGGAAAGGGATTTAGTAAGTATGGAATTAATATTCAGTTCTGAGTGTCAGGTTGATTGTTGGTAGATAGGTAGGTACGCATAACATGTAGGGAGGTGAATTAGTCGAGTGGTGAAACGCAGGTTGTACAGTACACTAAAATAATGAACCCCGATTGGAAGCACCAAGTCTGGTTATTACGGAGTGTATATTATCAGCATTCATATCTATCCCTAACCATACTTTACAATTAATTGCTAATCTCCTATAGCAGGTTAAATTGTATAGTATCCTTCAAATTATTTCGCCTTGTCTCGTCTGGTCTGATCGTCTTACATGTGATGCCAACAGTTCGCTCTTTTTTTTTAGTAGAAAAACCATATGAAAGGGAAGTTATTCATAATTACTGTAGCATTCCTGCATGATTCTGACCCGATCAACCTGACCAGCAAGCTGTAATAAATAAATTCACGCTATGTGCAACTAACATTCAACCGACTCGTTCATCTCCTTCGTAAACCATCTGGGTGAACAAAAGAGCCGACTGAAAGCTGATTCATCGCCCCCGTCCACCTGCAATGTCCTGGCCCAGCCGGTATCTGCCCACCTTCTCCCATTCCACCTTCTGCCGCGTGATCGGCAGCTGTCGTCGCAGCGCCTTGAACGCCCCCTCGGCCAGCCGGCTGAACGCCCGGTTCAGCTCCTCCTGGTAGTCGCGTTCCGCCGCGGCGATTTTGGAAATCACCGCCTCCGCGGAAAGCGAGGGCACAGAGAGGGAAATGGGCTTGTTCGTGCTCAGCGCGACGTTGCCATCCTCGTAGTAGTGCACGTCGACGTAGATGTTGCCCGTGACCGTCGTGGACGACGACGAGACTGGAACCTGATAAATCGCGCGGTAGCGACCGTTCCTATCATCGCAATTAGGGATCCTGTCGCTCCTCCTCCTCCAAGTCATAGATAGCTTCATCCAACTAACTCACCAGAAGTTATTCGGAGAGTATCGGTTAGCCACCAGAACGACGGCCACGGCAGTGTCGTTCTCGATCGGGTAGACACCGTAGGAGCAGCTGGGGTAGTGTTCGCGCGCATGGGCGGAAAACGATTTGAGGAGGGATTTCCTGGTGGCAGTTGGCATCAGCGATAGCTACATGGACAGGGAGGGATACTGCGTACACCAAATCGGCATTCTGAGACTCCAGAGGATACGATTGCACCGCAGAGGCTTTCTATCGAAGGAACACTCAGTATCAGTCTTGTCTCATAGAATAGACACCGCTGTTCCAAGAAGCATCGTACTTGCGTCACGTGGTCGAATTCAAACGACGTCTGACTCTCCACGTCGTAATATCGGTTTCCATCTAGCTTGTTAAACGAGCTGACAATCACCTATCCACATTCGAATCAATGGATGACCATGCACGTCGGCAGCGGGTGTTTCACCTCTTGGCTGCCGCCAGGCAACTTCACCGTGGCCAGCTGCTTCTCGTTGTACCGCTCAAAGGCAGGCCGGAGAGAAGGCAGGATATCGGGGCCGTCAGACGTAAGGGCTTTGATGTCTGGATCGAGGTTATCGTGTCAGCAAAATCAAGTAATGCGGGTGAGATCACATCCGGCGGGGTCAGGGGTGCGGGGAGACGGGCAGAAGGATGATTGTACCAGAAACGACATCTGCGAGCTGTACAGCAGTAAATACCAGATTAGCTTGGCATCTAAAATACAATGCATTGCAGCTGGCAACTTGGCAGCATACCTCCCCCGGTGGAGCGCCTTCGATGAACGAGGACGCGATCTCGACGGTCGAGCTCATATCGATTCAGAAAGACGTTACAATAGTAGCAGGGTATAAAAGGAAAAGAATATACAGGAAGGAAAATTGGGACAAGAAGAGAGGCACCCAACGAGAGCCCCAGCCGGAGAACGTGGACTGATTTCCTTCGCGGGCTGGATTGTTGTCGGCGTGTTCATGTTGACTCCGGTAAAGGCGGTCAGCGATGGCGGGACAGGGACGTCCCCGCAGTGTCAACTGCATTACCTATACAGATTTACGAAGTAAGGTTTCTCAGCAAATTTATATCTTAAGGGTCTGCTAAATTTTATTTTTAGTTTTAAAAATGTTGAATTGAATTTTTATATAGAAAAAAATTAATTGAGAACTTATAGAACATACATCATCTAGGGTTGAAGACAACAACCCTTTTAAGGAAAATATATAACAGAACTCGTCGATCTTGATTATTCTACAGTAATCTCTAAAACCTCTTGTTTTAATAAGAAAAGGGCACTATTCTGATGAGTAAGATTTGTACGGAATTTTCAACCGTTTACCATATGCGGCATAGGTACTGTACAGCACATGTACATACCTGCTGTAATGCAACGAACAGGCTTTACAAAGACTAGCAATGCACTATTTCTAGACAAGACTAAGACAATGATGTACACCCATAAAATATGCATTGAATAAACCCTAAAACTACTTACTCGCTATATGACAGGAACGAATGTAAATACTTACATACCACGAAAACGCCTTGAATCAGATTGAAACCCTATTCCTCCAACTCCTTGCCTGTGCCATGCTTTGTTGGATGGTGATCACAAGAAAAGAAACGAGTCAATGGATGAAAAATAGCCAGTAATTTTGAGCCAACATCCATAATGTACTGCACGCTCTGCTCACTCGATGCTCATATTCATCAGCCCGTCATTCGTCTCGTTCATCCCCTGCAGGCCAACCCGTTTCCCGCTCAAGTGCCCGCTGCTGCCTGTCTCCAGGGCAGGCGTCGACTTCGGCGGAACCACCCACGCGTTGGCGTCCTTGACAACCGGCGAGTGCGCCAGAACTGGACTGCTCTGCACGCTCATCCCCGGCGACACCGCCCGGCGCTTGAAGGACTCGGGATCCAGGTCGTCGTCTCGTCGCCGCTTGCGACGTAGCTCGACCGGGTTGGCTGCTTGCGGGGCGTCAGACTTGGACAGCTCCCCTTCCACGGTGGAGTCAAACACGGTCGACTGGGGCGTCTCCATCGTCGTGTCCTCACCCTGCGCGGAAGACGGTCCTGCCATGCCGGCCGGGGGTGGAGGTGTGCGATACCGGTCATCGAATGAATTCCAAAACGCCACGCCGCCCGAGTTGCGGTTGGCCTGATTCCGGAAGCTGGTGTCGGAGACCGTAGCATTTGATGCCCCGTCTGACCCTGTTGTCGGATTAAGATTATGTAACTTGTCAATGGGGAAGGTTGGGGACTTGGACTGGATAGTCGGGTCGCTCTCGCGGACTTGACGGATGACTTCGGCCTCTCGCTTGGCCTCGCTCTCCAATGGTGCACTCTCCTCCATCAATGCGGCACGGATCCGAGCGAAATTCTTCGGTTTAGGCTGTAACAAATCAGTATGCTATCAGTAGGTGTTATATCACACGAGGAGACCAAAGGATAGCCAACGACATACCAGAAGATTGCCTCGCCTAGTCACAGCCCGTCTAATAACCCCACGGGGTCCACCCTCAACGCCTGCCGGGCTGTCGCCCGGTGTGGCCCGACTATCGCCATCGTCGCTGAGATCCGACAGATGAAGGTCTCTGGTGCCTAGGCTCAGACTCTCGCGTCGTGAATGAACCGCGGCCTTGGACATCTCGCGGGCAAAATACCCCCCGTTGGACGTCTCGATACTCTTGAGCACCGGCGGGGACAAGGGTCCCGGGCTGGGCTTGGAGCTATTCCCACTGGCGCTGCTGGAGCTGTGTCGACTCTTGCGGCCGCTCCGGAACCGTGCCCGTCGGAAACTCAGCAAATTGGCCGCAGTAGGTGAATTCACCCCCATCCAGTCACTTCCCGGACTCTGCACGAGCGGTGCTCCAAACGGATTGGACGCGCTGCCACCTGCAACTTTATTCACCAGGGGCGTGGCCGTAATCATCGCATCATCCCGATCGCCATTCATCGGATCATCGTCGTCGTCCTCTTCGCTGCTGCTCGTGTCGGACTCCAGCATGTTGACACTCGACACGGAGCTGGACATGGCTGTCCGGTCGGCTGTACCAGAACCAGAAAAGTTCTGGCCAAAGGCCGTGCTGGGAGAATTAAGCCCAGACGCGCCTGTCCCCCGTCGCTGGGGAATATTCACTCCGCGGCTGCCGATGGTCGGAGATGAGTCCGGCGAGGACTCAGCGAGGGTGGAATGGTGCAGGTTGGTACAGGCGCGTGAGAAATCAAGGCCTCGCGAGCGACGGGGCAGCACAGAGGCAGGTGATCCGTAGATCTGGGGGGCGTCCAGTTTCGGCGAGAGGGGAGCACGGCTGATGCTGGGACTGTTGGTCGCAAACGGTCGCGGAGGAAGATGGAGAGAGAGGCCTTGTAAGGAGGGATGAGAAGGATGAGACTTCTGCGGAGTCGCTGGGTTATTGGTGTTGGAGGCGGCAGTATCGTCTTTGCTGGACTGCGAGAGCTCTCGCACTGCTGGAGGTTGCAGCGACGAAGCGTGTTTCGCAGCATCCGACAAAGAACGCGACTTGGGCGACTGACGCGGCGGCTGAAGATGTCCCCTGCTGCTGCTGCTACTAGTATTTTCCTCACTGTCAGACTGTTCGGTCGTCGATCGCTGTCTATGCTGCCAGAACGACTCTGGCAGTCGCGTTTCGAGCGCGGTCGTGATAGAGGAAGAGGAGGTTGTTTCGGCCATGGCGGAGGAAAAAACTACAGACGCGTCAAATGGAGAAATATAACTATAAAATATCAGAGAGCATGATGAAGTTTCTGGCGTGAATGCAGAGGCCTGACCCAGATGAGAGCGCGAGATCCAACCCGAGCGCGATGGCGATGGGCAGGCTTAAGGAAGTCGAGTTAGACGGGACATGGGTAGGGATTAGGAGAGATCCTTAAACAAGGCACTCGACATGAGCCGTGAAGCCAGAGTTCTTCTCCCACGAGGACGGTATCGCGCGTCGATTGTGCAGTCTTGCGACTTTTGCTCTGGTTGTTTTCGTCCTGACGTCGACTCGACCGGCGGCTAGCTGGGACGCTTCCGGCCCTTTCGCCCCGCCCGTCCCACCTTGGCCGGCGGCCCCATTGGCAGCCGCACAGCATCTGCTTCGATGTTTGCGGAAGAGCAGCAGAACAATGCAATTGTACGGACTCGTCAAGATACAAAGATACTGCTCATGGGAAGTAGGACTGACATGCATCTAGATGGAATCCCTCGATAGACCAGATTCACACGGCTACACCCTCAGCTTATTCTTGAGTGCCAAGGAATGCTATAAACGCCACCGGATGATTGCATCGTCACGATCTGGATATCTTGTCGGAGGCACTCTTAGTTACCCAGACAGGTAGCTACTGGGTACCTTGCTGAGTTCTTATAGCTTCCTGCAGAGTCCTTTTATGGCATGCTAGCAGTCAGTCATGTGGTTGAAACCAACTCCCTATAGCAAAGGGATTTATGCAGATAGCTAATATCGTAGATGGCTGTGATATTCCAAAATCGCTCGCTCTAATTTCACATAGACATACAACGACCATGACAGGACAACCATAGCAGGACATGTCTTAAGACTCATATCTCATACCCAAATAACCGAGTCGTAGTGTAGTGTACAGTACATGCTGTATCTGGAATACAGTCGACATCCCACCGGGGTCAAGAGGACGAGCCAGCGTCTCACGATGTCGAGAGCGAATCATACGACAATCCATGTCCGTATATAATCTCTCTTTCTCTCGCCATGCCAATGCCGGATGGCAGCAGTTTGGGTTATACCAATGCCCGCTCTGACCTGGAGACGCGACCGAGGTCCTCCGTACTCCTCGACGCTTTATTATTCGGCGTAGGCGGCAGCGAAGGCCCATAGGGACCCTTGTTGAACTCTGCATCGTCAAAGGTCGTCGTGGACGGGGAAAGCACTCTCCTCGTGGGTGTTGCTGAGGATAACGACAATTCGCTGTCTCTCTGATAAGACGGTTCGGGATAGATCGGTCTCTGAGGCGGATTCTGGGGACGGCCAGCAGCGGTAGCAGGTCCGTAGTCGTCGATCTCGATAAAGTCCCGGTCTTTGTCGTCCTCGAGCTGTTCCTGCCTTCGCTTCCGTCGCACGATAATGAACAACACGATGGCGCTGATGACAACGACCCTGGTCGCGATCAATCAGAATGGCTGAACCGGAAGCCTTCATCCGTAGGAAAATCACTCACCCTCCCAGGATCGCAGCGGGCACCGCGTTGATGAGCGTTTGGCTGACGGGCTTCTCGCAGTCGGGCGAATTACTGTCCGAAGTACATTCACGTCGCAGATGATAAGAGCCTACCGCCATCTTGCCTGAGATTGGGATCCGCGCAGCGCTCAATCCTTCGAATTGGGTTGCTCGAGGGCGCGTCGATTCCGGTGGTGAATAAGATCGCAACTGCCAAGTCGAGACGACGGCGGCAGCCTCTTCATTTGACGGAGACGTCAGGACAAGAGGGTCGTTCTGCTGGAAGGTGCATGAGAACAACCAGATGGCACATTATCCACCTTGGCGCCCGATTGTTATCAGCGCACAATCGGGGAATTGGGGCAGTTGGGTCCCCCTTTTATTTATTACTCTCGCCCTGTCTGAGACATGAAACCCTGGAATAGCACCTCCCTATTCCCGATCCAGTTAGCGCAAATAGATAAGCGTGACTCGCGGAGATAACCGAGCAAAAGCCGAGCGTTTCGAGGAGCGCTAGATTGCTAGTGACACAGTCGCGGCCCTCAGTCGTGGCTTTTATCAGGGGAACGTGTCCAATCCAGGGCGCCGCTGACGTCTGGCAGGGTCAAGCCACATGGCACAGTGACATTCGTCCCTGGAATTCCACTCTTGGGGCCAAAAAGAGGAACTTACGCGACAAATGATTTCCTGATCGGGTTGGGTGTGGCTTCGCATGTGGCCTTAGGCAATAAGGTTAGAGTTATTTATAGGGCTGGGGCTCCGCAGGAAGCATCTCCTCTCGAACACTGACGTAAGTGCATCTCCATTGCAAGTGTTGTCTTTGTGCTTTTCTAAATCCCTTCCTGTTTCAATTGCTGCTTCTATGTGTAAATACAAATCTCGTTTCATTGAGGTGAAGAGATATACGCTGAGTTATACACTAGGCAATTGATATTCAGACATCTATCAACTTGTCCACGATAGCATGTTCCAGACCCAGCTGCGAGCCTATATGGGGTCTCCAGCTAGCATCTAGCTCCCCGCGAATCCAAGCTTCTCCATTCCCCTTGATGACCTGTTACATAATGCTTATTTCAGCATCCGTATCCCTGATTAATCATCAGCTGATAGAGAGATGAGACGTTTTTATAAGCTCATGAATCCACATACAATACTTGTATGCAATCATTGTCTTCGCAGACAGTTACATCTTTCTTCATTTAGTTCTGAGGTCAAAGTCCAATATGAATGATTACTAGAGCTATACCTAGATCGCGCTGCATGGTCAGGCTAGCCCACATAGATTAAAAGGACTGCAGTAGTGACTTCTTGAGGTCAAATACGCCTAGTTCCGGCTTATATGTATGGAGGTGAGTTTCGCGATATCTCAGTAATATGCACAATACTGTGTCCACAGGCACACACAGCATGGAGAGTGTTCCGTGGAAGAAGTCCCTTGGAAGCCTTATGCACGGCTGCCATGATACTACCCCCTATGAGGTATCAATTGCGGATGCAGAAAGCAGTGAGGAAATCAAAAGATGTTGAGGGGGAAAATTGTTTTTTTTTCTCTAAAAGAAAAAAAAAAGACTGGTAAGCGAATTGTCATGTCAAGACGACAGTAGCGATACCTAAGCCTGTCCTGACTCGTGATATAGATGGAGACAATTTCCAATTGTAAGGTTTTGAACTGACTGCTTCTGCTCAAATTCAACACTAATTCTGACCACAGCTTCTCTCTGGCCGACCCTGATTTAAGACCCTCTGTAGCAACTGCATGTAAGGCTGTAGAGTCGTAGCCTTTCGCGGAGCATGCGCAGTATTTCAGGTATGTTGTAAATCGTCAATCCACATAACCTAAACATGTGTCACAATCACCAGGGAGTCGTGAAGCGTGCGGCTCGACAGTACTCAACCGAATCCATCCGTCATCATCTCTTCTTCACAGTCTGAGGTTCATTGGCAGTGATCCTACGATCCATTTGTAGGGTTTGAGGCATGGAGGAAATGTCGCTCGATCTTCTCCAAGCCTGCCGCGTCATCTGTCTAACCTGATTCAAGACCTGTCTTAGGGTTGAGAAGAGGTTTCCGCAAATCCGGCCGAGAACCGCCTTGTGGGCGGTGAGATAGGCAAGGCAGAAAAACGGCTGGAATTGTGCAAAAATGAATGAACTGTTGAAGGTTCGCAGGTGAAACCGCGAATATAGCAGCCTCCACTGTACACGGCTGATTTTTGGTTCTCTGCTCCACAGAGGACTTCTGTACAGTCGGTTGAGGTCTGAGAGAAGCCGATGGTTGCCGGGTCGCATGGGGCGGAACTGGGAGCCGTCGGGGAAAGAGGAATGCGCCGTGCCGGAAGAAGAAAACGATCGGCTAGCGGCTTGGCGCTGGAAGGATTTAAGGTTCTGTTTGCTGCATTAGCGTTCCCAGCCTGCGGGACCCCGCCTGCCGTTTCGGGGCTAGCGCGCACCCGCTGCCATCAGCTGCGGATCGCGCCTTCCTGCACACGGCATCCTTCAGCACGTCAAAAAACCTTGGCCCTGCCTCCTGCGCGGCTTCCTCTTCCGCGCTCGCGAATACGAATGCCTCCTGCTCTCATAGGACGGCAGGGCTGCGGTGGCTGGATCCGACCGTTGTCGTCTCCATGGTCTCGACTCCCCGTCTCGAGGCATGCCGTCCCATCTGCCAGCTTGGTTCAAAGCTAATCCCAAGCCCTTTCCGTTATTAAGGAATTTTACACGAAGTGATAATCATTCTTGAAACGAGCCTAGGCCTACAAGTCAGGAAAATGATCCAAGCGTTGTGCCGTCGCGAGTTGTATACCGCAAGCTGGTATGCCGTTTCTTGCGCTCCAAGCAAGGAATCGTTGGTATAACACGTATACAGACCGATATCATACGATGCACAACACAGTGTACTCGCGTGTCTTGGTGAACGTTACTGTGATGGCAGACACATGAGGATAGATCACTGAGCCATCGTACTGGAGTCTGCCTTACAGAGCTTGTCATACTTTAGCTAATAAATGACAGGTCATTAATCGGGAGAAGACTATTTGGACTCACCATCCCACTTTCGTCCTGACGACAAGACTTCGCGGCAATTACCAACTACCGCGTGATGATGCCGTGCCGGCTCAAGCCACGTCAAAAATCCAGACCACTACCTCGGGATAGCTCAAGTTCAACTGCCGTACTTGGACCTCTTTGAAGTAGAACGATGAATCTCTCATATTCAGTTTACAGTCTGTTCATCTGGCAGCTCCATTGAGATAAGACAGTGTTGAGGATGCTTTTCAGAAGTAAATACTGCTCTCTTGTCGCATACCCGTCGGCTGGTAAAGAGGCAGGAAACGAGGGCCAAGATAAAATTAGCGTCCCAATTCAACGGACGCTCCTCGAAAAGGAAGCATGGAAAGCGGCCCATTCCCACTGTCTAAGTCCGGAAGGGGTTAGGTGCTGGAGAACGTCCGAGACGGGCCTGACGCAGCAATCTTCGCTTAGCATCCCAAATCGCCAACAGCCCCTATCAAGCGCGATCAACTAGCGGGACGAACTGCAGTTCAGGAGGTGCAGCATTATTGTAGATCTGCCCGATCTCGCAGATATATATGGCCATGTGCCATACCCCCTTTGTCTGTGCTGGCCGTCTCGTTGATCGCCTTCCCTCGTTGATGACTGTGTCCTTGGTATCAGAATGTCGTACAACCCAGACAATCTGCAGCCATGGGTGTCGGCAGTCACGGGGTCGGTGACAGGGCTGGCCCTCGTCGCCGTCTGCCTTCGTATGCTTGCTCGCTACGAACGGAAGCAGAAGTTGTGGTGGGATGACTATATGATCATGTTCTCAATGGTCTGTATTCCCTTCCGGGGTACCCTCTTCAGCAGAATGAGAAGAGGCATTGTGTTGCTGATCTGCTGGAGTAACAGGGCTGGAACCTTCTCGTCATCGCGTTCATCTATGCAATGGTTGGGGAAGGCATGGGCTTGCATGCAAATACGATACCACTAGAAAACGTCGTCATGATCGCAAAGCTCCTCGTCGCCGCCGAGATCCTCTATGTCTTCAACCTGGTCTGGACCAAGCTCAGCTTCCTGCTGATGTACTACCGCATCTTCCGGGTCCCCTATTTCAAGCGATGGGCGTACATCATCGGCGCCTTCGTCATCATCTGGGTGATCACCATCACGTTTGTTTTCATCTTCATCTGCGTTCCCGTCCAGAAACTATGGTATCCCCAGCTGCCCGGTCGCTGTGTCAACCAGGTGGGCACGTGGATTGCCAATGCCGCCTCGACCATTCTCACCGACCTGGCCATCTTGATCCTCCCTATTCCCCAGGTGTGGAAACTGCAGTTACAAAAGTCGCAGAAGATTGCTCTTACGTTTGCATTTGGTCTTGGTTTCTTGTACGTCTTATCTTTTCTTTTCCTTTCTCATTCTGGCAATGTCTAACCGCAACAGCGTTGTCTTCGCATCGGTCTACCGCTTTACCGTTCTCTTCTCTTACACCTCGCTGGACTCTTCCTACACCTTGGCCCCAACGGTCGGCTGGACCGCCATTGAAATTTCCGCCGGCATTACGTCGGCGTGCCTGCCCACGCTCCGTCCGGCCCTGCAATTTATCGCGCGCCATCTGGGCATCCAGGGCGTGATGCCGAGCCTGCTCCGCAGCGGCACGTCGACGGGCTTTTCGAAAGGGCGGTCGAATCTCAGCACGGGGCCCACAATGGATGACAACAACGCGGGCCACAACCGATCGGACAGTCAACGGCGCTTCTACCGGCTGCCGGATGAGACTGGGCATAGCGATCCGCCCGCGGATGCCACGCTGAGACCGGACCACGGCTACGTCTACACGACCAGCGTGCTGGGCACGAAGGGCGAGGGCGACAGCCTGAGCGGAGATGAGGTTCCGCTGCACAGCATCCGCGTGCAGAAAGACTTCAAGCAAGTCGAGGGTTGAAACCTGAAACCTGTTCTGACTGACACCCGTTCCTCCGGCGCTAAAAGCCTGCTCGACCACCCCCCTGTGGGGCCGGTGGTCATTTGTTGTTTTGCACGGCACAAAAACTTGGACTGTACAAAATCACTGTATTTCGCGTGTATATACTCCCCATGTGCATGTATCTATACCGGTGTCTCTGTATTGAATCTCATTGAACTGTTCATCAGCGGTCTCTTGCGTCGCATACATGCCTACCTGGGTAACTGACCCCTCTGGCAGTCGTACCACGGTACCCTGGCGGTGGCTCTGTGGAGTGACATGACGCCCTGCAGACTGACAGAAGCCAAAGTCCGGTGCGCTAGCGGGTCAAGATTCGCGCGGCTGCCTCACGATGCTGAGTCAGGGCCAGCGGTTCGGCCGGACAGAGTTTCCCGTTTGGGCATGGTTTATAGATGGATCGATCGCCATGCACGGACAGATCCTGATGCAGGTCTGTCGAGCATGCATGAAGTACGGAGTACAGAGTATAATCAGTATGGATGTGCTGATTTTTTTTTTACTCGATGAGTGCTTTTTTCTCATGCAAACAGGTCCCTTTCTGCGCGATGTCGCTGCTTTGACCCCCCCGAGGACGAGCACTAAAGGACCCTGGCTGCAAGATCCGCACGCAGCAGAATGCACTAACGCCTTTTGGCAGGAACAATGCAGTCTGACTGGCTGCTGGACCCTGGCCCCGCGAGCCACGCAGCAGCAATAACCTTAACTAATTCTGCCTGTTTTTCAGCATGGTCCACGACTCCACCCAGTACAGCCATCGCCCTCGTTCTTGGTATTTCCACTGGCTGCTATTGTTCAGCATGGTAAGGCTTCCTGTCCAGGAAAAAAAGATGTCAAGCTGAGAATGGTTGAGCAGAATCGATCTACTACTCCGTACGTATCTATAGATAGCAGCATCTGCATGACGCAAGTTGGTCCAGTACAAAGCTGACCGACAGTTAGCTGCTTCATCGATTTTCGATTGACTCCCCCTTTTACGGCTGACCATTTACCATTCTGACACAAGATAGCAACCGGTTCGCGGGCACCCGCCGGCCGTGCCATGTTAGCGCGAACGGTGGTGTCCAGGCATTGGCGTGATATCCCGAGTATCCATCATGATCCTCATTATCCCGGATCCACTGTCAAACAGGGGGCTTGGGCCGTCAAGCCCATGGCCCATCTGGTTCTGGCATGATGACTGGCGGTGTGAGCAGCACCGCGGCAAACGTTCAGCATCTCAAACTCTCGCCATTGTCTTGCCTCTCATGCATGTTATCCCTGTTATCAAACTGTGATCCCCAACAGTTCTCTCCGTCGTCGATATTTGCTGTCGTCATCAATCAATTACCTCATTCGTACTCCTCTTTTTTCTAGAATTTATTAAGAAAAGAATGGCCGCCTCCAAGACCATCGAAGTCCCCCACCTCGGGGGCATCAAGGTCGGCTACGCCCTGTCTGGCGACCGCTACGATGCCTCGAAGCCGACCTGCGTCCTGATCAACTCCATGTGCACGACCGTCTCGCTGTACCGCGAGCAGTTCAACGACCCCAACCTCACAAATGCTCTGAACCTCCTCGCCATCGAGCCGTTGGGCCACGGCGCCACGAGCTCGGTCTCCGAGCAGTTCACCTACTGGGATTCGGCCATCATGGCGTTGCAGGTCATGGACAAGCTGGGCATCCAGAAGGCCTTTGCCCTGGGAACCAGCCAAGGTGGATGGATCATCGTCCGCATGGCTCTGCTGGCGCCGGACCGGGTATGTCGATGGGCAGCGACGACAATGACATGAATTGCGTCGCGAGAATATTACTCGTAGTTAGTCAAAGCCAGTCAGTCCCCTTGCGCTGACACACGAATTTTTCTTGTTTTGCTAGATCCTCGGTCTTCTGCCCCTGGGAACGTCCATGGACAGCGAATCGCCCGAGTCGCGTGCCAAAGGCTGCTGGGATCCCGCGCCGATCATCAAGCCCTTCATCGAGAAATGGACCAGCGCGACCCCCACGCCCGACTTTGTCATCGACGACGTCTGGCAGGGAATGGTGGCTAGTCTCGGTTTCAGCGGCGCGGTGTCTGCCGAGACGGTTGAGTTCTGGAAGGCCACTGTCCGGGACGTCTACAAGGGCGACGAGGGCCGGAAGAAAGTCCGCATGGCGGCGATCAACCTGCTGGAGAGAGATGGACTGTTGCTCCGGTTGGGCGACATCAAGTGTCCTGTGTACTGGTTGCAGGTGAGAAAGTCGTTCCTCTATCACTCAATCAGGAAGCTTGTCGCCAACAATGAACAGGGAACCGAAGACGCTCCTTACGGCCTGACCTACCCGCCTGAGCAGATCAAGCTATTCACCTCTTCCAAGGAAACCAAATTCATCACCGTCCAGGGCGGTGCGCACTACCTGAATGCCACCAGCCCGAAGGAAGTCGCGGACGCGCTTCTGGAGATGGTCAGTAAGTACAAATAAGCTGCACACCCCGACGTGGTTGGATGGTCAGGACGTTGGGTCCATACCTACATAATTTCTATACAAGTATGTACATACCTACCAACATAATATTTATATATACCCGTTAATGGTACCCAGGAGCGGGTACATGTAAATAGAGATACGCTCGTTTAATAATAATTTTTTATTTATCCGCTGAAGTAGCGTTAGGATTTAATGTAGCCTGAGGAACAGGGCATATGATATCATACCTAGTAGACTACCAATGACGATCCGCGCGCCGAATGCAGCTAATAGGCATGAAGAAGTGGACCTAGGTGGCCAGAACAATGCTGAGCCGATCATCGATCGAGGTTTATTCATGTACTAGTAACTAACTAACACCATCTATTGCATCGCATTGAACAGTAGACGAACGAATGTCATTGTCACCTAGTTAAAGTCATTCTCTGCGCTATCTATCTCAGGGCCTTATAGCTTTTTTTTATTGATATAGTTCGATCGAGGGTGGAGAATATTACGTTCGTATTCATACGTATAACCTGGACGTTCGCGCAGAAGTATGTACTGTACATTCTTCTGTCATTTCGCCCTTTTTTTTGCGAAAACTCTATCATCTATCAGTAGAAAATACTTAACGGAGCCTTTTTTTTTATAATGATGATGATTATGAGATGATAATAATGATGATACTTTTTTTTGCAATATAGAGATAGAGAGAGATAGATATAAGCAAATATAATAGAGTAGAAAAAGAATACATGTCTATAGATACCCGTATGGGACATGAAATGGAACAGCGGAGGAGTAATAATACTTACTTACCTAGATAAGTAAGTAAATAAGTATTATCATTCTTATTCTCTGCTTTGAGTAAGTAGATAGGTACAGTACATTACATAGTAGTTTCATGTGATTGCACAGTTCCTCCTTTTTTTTTTCTTTCCACTGACTTGCTTTATATATACTCAATGATGACTTCCACTGCTAATTAAGGACATCTTTTAATTTTTTTTTGCTTTATAGTGGTCACTGTCATTCCAGTTCTTTTTTTCCCGTTTAGATGGTGATAAAGTAACTACCTATCTATATATAGCTCTAATGTCTGACTGACTCTCACATCACAGGATTGAGAATTGCTTTACCGCGTCCTCTAATGTAAGGACTATCTATTCATGTCATATCACATCATTATCATGGTGTTGATTGCCCACAACCTGCTGATTTCTGTGTGTGGGTGAGGGTTGTCCCATGATTTGGATCTCGTGAATGGCTAGTTATATACTTGTCGCTTCGAGTGCGGAGTTGCTCTTGTGTCAACTATTGGATCTGTTCTGCTCGACAAATTGCCCCGGAAAAGATGCCATTATTACTGGTTTATGAATTAATGACTTAGGTTTTGAATTTGAGATATGGCTAGGAGTTCATAGTAGCAATTCGAGATACGAATAGATCATTAATTCAACCAAATAAATGATGCTAACCAAAACGAGCGGAACAGCTCCTGATATATTTCATCGTGCTTGGTCCGCCGGCTCTTCCAGCTGAAACGACTCCTCAGGGCTCTGCCACTGCGGACTCGTCCGGTGACTTCGAGACTCCTGCCGCTCCTCGTCATCGGCCAGCTTGCTGAAGCCGTCGACCAGCGGTACGTCGCTTTTGTCGTACGGCACGTGGCATCGCACCGACCGCAGCGGCGGGTAATATCTCCGGTACGACATGTAGGCCACCGTAATGCCCAGCAGCCCCCCACAGGTCACATCCCACACGTCGTGGCGATAGTCCTCACAACGCGAGATGGCGATCATCAACGCCCCGAGAAGGGGCGCCAATACCAGCAGACACCGCGCCAGATCTGCTCGGGGGCGAAACACATGCATCTGACCGGCGAAAAACCTGTCGAGACACACCAGCTGTCAGCATGCATATTTTATGATGGTGTGAAAAATGCCTCACACTCACATCGCCAAGTACCCCAGTCCTCCAAAGGCAAAACTGCTGTGTCCGCTCGGAAAGCTCCTCCACCCTTCGTCGAGAATGTGTTGGTTCGGCTGCGTACAGACCGTGTACGTCACCAGCTCGTGATCCGGCGTTCCTCGACCGGGCTTGCAGCGGTCGATGAGATCGGGCCGCGGCCGTCCCACGGCGTTCTTGATAAGATCAGTGATAAAGGAGCCCACGGCCAGCGTGACCACCAGACCCAGGACGGTGACATGGAATTTATGGGCATCGGGACGGAAGAAGATCCCCCACAGGACGAGGATGATCAGGGGAATGACTCCAGCGTAGATGACCGACCACACTCGATGGATGTCAGTGATGTTCCGGTCTGTTCACTGTAGGAGGGAGGGAAGCGCGTACACACAGATACTCTCTCCACCTGCGCAAATGGGTACTGGAGGGCGACATTGTCCAGGGAGAACATGCGATGGAATGGGTGAACGAACAGCTGAATCTGTTACTCGGTGTCCTGTCAGCATATGATCTTCTCTATCTGCAAGGCGGAATTGTCAACTTACCATAACCCAGCCGACTGCCACCACGCTCAAGGCAACATAATCGGGTGCGTACGTGCGACGCCAGAACCGGGCTAGCGCTCCTGCGGCGCCTGGTTGAGTGGAAAGAGGCATCATGTTCGTTCGGGGCGAGGGGACATGATATGACATGGGATATTCAATGATGCTGGGACTGTAGATATATTCACGGCGATAGCGAAGGCCTGTAACACATGTCGGTAGTGTCCGGAGAAAGCGCTGGCAGAACTGTCCAGTAAATCTAGCAACACACGTGTAACACTAAATCTAAGAACGCTATCGACAAGAAACAATCAACAATAGGATGGAATGGCGTGTTGTCGAATGGCAGAATAAACGGATATGTCTAGGTGATGGGTGTTGGAGACGAGGCTCCGAGCTGCGGAGATGACTTGTCACTAGCTTCGAGGCTGCGCTGCGTCTTTCTTCTCCCCTCACCTTACGGAGAACTCTTTCCATGCAGACCCTCCCAACACATACGAGCGAAAGCGAACGAGCTTTCTTCCACTACACAACGGTCTCTATTCTTTGATCAATTCGCCTGGTATTCAGTCTCGCTATGGCTGAGGGAGGTCCCCGTCTTACCGCCGCCTTCCCCCCTCCTCCGCCCTTCTGGAAGCACTTCACTCCAGAGAATCTCGAGAAGCTCGAGCAGATCAAGAAAGAGAGCACAAAGTCAAAGGAAGAGTACCGCAAGAAGAAATGGACTCCCGCCGAATTGCAGGCCTTGAAGGTCCCTCCTGAACTTCGCTTTCTCATCCCTCCCGAAGCGCCCAAGTCGGGCACGTACAGCGTGTTTGGGGAGCCACAAAGCGTAAGATGGCCCTTTCTACCTAAATTTGCGACATCTTGTGGATTGCTAATATGTGCCATACACAGATCTCGACTACTCTTCCTTCCTTGAAGGAACAAGGCATCGAACAACTCTACCCTTCTCCCCCCGCGACCGACGCCGGAAAAGAAGAACCATCCGCGCCGCCGTTGAATCACGCCTACTACCTCTTGAAGATCAGCAAGTCCCTCCTGCTCAATTTCCTCGAATTTGTGGGGATCCTGTCGGTGGCTCCGGAGCAATTCGAACCCAAGCTGGAGGACTTGCGCAACCTTTTTATCAATGCACACCACCTGCTGAATCTCTACCGGCCGCATCAGGCGCGCGAGTCCCTGATTCTGATGATGGAAGAGCAGCTGGATCGCACGAGGGAGGAGATCCGAGAGATGGACCGCCTGAAAGACCGTATCGAGCAGCTTCTGGAGCAGCTGAAAATTGATGGCGCCGACGCGTTTGCTGCGTCGCAGGTGGCTACGGAGGAGAAACCGAAGCCGGTGGAGTTAGATGATAAGACAGTCGAGGAAGCTCGCCAGCTCTGGGCTCTCGTGAATGAGGATGAGGATCGACCGCGGTGATCTGACTCGCTCTTTCTACGCGATAACTCTACTTCTGCGGGTTCTACACAGCTTCGAGCCGAGCCAATTGCTTCTCACTACTGGATGCTGCGATACGCCATGACTTCTCCCATGATCGAGCTCGACAGGACAAGTTACGCTCGGCGTTACTATACTGTGGAGACACAGTACGCCTCTACTATTAGCTCTTACTACTGATTATGTCCAGTTTGTAAGAGCACTTTGATACGATCGCACCATGGACGCGATCATCCACATCTTTCCTCGGAAATAGTGATTTTCCGTTCTGCATCACGTGGTACGCTAGCGCGCCGCGCTTAAAACCACACGGAAATTTTCCACCTCCCTTCGAACTGTTCCCCGTTCCATCGTGGAATGACAATGTCGATGCTCTAATGTGAGCATTTTCAGAATAAGGTGCTGGTCTAGGTTATGAATCAGTTCATCGGACTAGACAGCGGCAATGAGTTCGTTTACACGGTGATGATTGGTTTGCAATGGGCTCATCGAGCTTGGAATCTGTTTTTACCTTCTGAGGTCTAAACACAGGCAATGGGGTATTGAATTTTTCAATTTCATGTGTATTGACAAATAGGTACGTGATTCTCGTTGCCCTCCTAGCTCCGTATTATGATGATTGATGCCTAAAAATATGTTTCAACCCCATATGAAAGCACTACGGTGCCTTTTGATTACATTGTGCATCTACTATCTGATTTCCTTTCTGGCTGCAAGAGCATTATTTATGTGACCAGCGTGTTGTGTGAGCACCTTGCTGACTTTGTCCAGATTAGTCTCTACTGCGATGCTCGCAATGTCAATACTACACGCTTCTATTTATGGCAGAATGAGTAATAGTACTACTAGTAATGGCAATTTTACTCATCTACTTGCATTAATCAACGCACTCGAGTTCCCTTTTTATGACTGATTGTACTGTTTATCCATTGGAGAATGCCATCATGAGATCTATATCATCTGTTATGGTCTATTTCGCCCATCTTTCTGCGGTATGTATGTACAACAAAAGAAAAAATAAGAGAGAGGAAAATAGCAAATGTCTTTGTACAAGTTTTTGTTTATTGATATTAAGATCATAATGGGAATGTGGTAGGTAGGTAGGCTGATGGAATGCAAATAAATGGGAAAACTCGCTTGTCACGAGGATCGGAAGTGAAGAATCAAAAGAAACGAAAAGAGAGAAAGAAGAAGAATTCGAAGAAGAAGAAACACAAGGGAAATCCAAGACCCCAAGGTGACTTGTGATGCAGGAAGCCACGTCATGTGCTCTCCGCTTTCTTAGACGCCTTGGTCCGCAACTTCATCAGCACATAGACCAAGGCATACGACGAAATGGCAAATATCACCACGATGCCAGCATCCCGCCAGCCATAGTAATAGTCCAGCAGGTTGACTGTGGCCAAATAGTCACTCCCAGACCGGTACTCGCACACTCGACAGCCTGACGTGGCATCCGGATTGATCAGGTTGGAGCCGGATCCCACGCCCTGCATATATTCTGCCAGATACTCTCCACAGGTTGTCCCGTTGGGCGGGTCGAAGATGGCGAATTCTGACTCCGCGCAGTTGATCTCGCTGCCCCAGACGTCGAACACGAGCAGACTGCCGATCAGGTAGTTGAATGGGTTGAGATAGTACATCCAGTACCGCCAGAACGTCTGGATCTGCGAATACGGCACCAACACGCCACAGAAGGACACCAGCTGGCCGATGACGAACGGGTTGGCCAGCGCCGCGAAGACGGCATTCGGTGCATACGCTGCGATGAACTGACCGATGCCCGTGTACACGAACTCGTACATCAGCATCACGAAGAACGTCCCGCCTGCCCGGTGCGAGTCGCTGGGGAATCCGACCGTGTAGTACCAGCAGACAAAGTACAGCACCGCGCAGATGCAGAGATACGGTATCTCGGACACGATCAGCGCCGTCACGAACGCCTTCCACGAGTACATCTTGGATTTCTTCTCGCGCGTCTCGTAGATGTCCCGTCGGTCGATGAAGAGCGGCTGCAGCTGGGCGATGACACCAGGGGCCACGAAGATGAAGTTGAACACGGTGAAGAGGCGAAGCTGAAGATCGGCCACGGTGTCACCGATCTTCCAGAACGAGAACCCGTTGAACAGGGCCGTCGTGATGTGCAGCATGAACTTGTTGTTAATATAATCCGTGTTGCGGAACAGGGACACGTTCATCCGGTGCGTTACGATCTTGGTCTGCTCCCACAGCGATGTCGCGAATTCATATCCGTCGTCGTGTGTTGCCGGTGGTTTGGCAGCAGCCTCTTCGATGATCTGATCCAGCTCGTTCATCATTTTCGCATGTTCAGGGGATTCCAACCAGATCTGGTGCCAGTCTCGACCCTGCGACAGGTGCCCTGAGACAACGTCGATCATATGCTCAGCAGGATTGGCATCGGGGGGACACGGCGCGCCATGGCGTGCAAAGTATTCCCGAATCGTCTGCGCGTTGTCGCCAATGTCTCCAAAGTACACCGTCTTGCCACCCTTGGCGAGAAGCAGCAGGGTGTCGAACTGAGCAAACAGTTGCGCCGAAGGCTGATGGATGGTGACCAATACTGCCTGGCCGACATCAGCCAGTTTTCTCAGGAATCGCACGGTATTGAAGGCCGACTGTCCGTCCAGACCGGACGTCGGCTCGTCTAAGAAGATAAGGATGCTCGGCTTCGCCACCAATTCCACTCCGATCGTGACGCGCTTCCTCTGTTCTACCGATAGGCCGGCTCCCACCCGCCCGATGAGAGTGTCGGCAATGTCGTGCAGCTCCAGGAGATCAATGATGGTATCGACATACTTCAGCTTCTCTTCTCGGGGGACATGACGGGGCTGACGCAGCAAGGCAGAGAATTCCAGGGCCTCACGGACCGTGGCGTACGGCTCGTGGACATCCAGTTGTTCACAATACCCGGCAGACCTCTGGAAAGAGACAGGCAAGGGACGCCCATCCACCATGATCGAGCCCCGAATGGTGCCTTCTGTCTTTCGTTGGGCCAACACGTCCAAGAGAGTCGTCTTGCCGGCCCCCGACGAGCCCATCAGCGCGCCCAGCATGCCGGGCTTGACCCATCCGTGGACATTGTCGAGGAGGATCCGTTCGCCAGATGGCGTCTTAACAGTGTACGTCAGATTCTTCCAAGTGAAGACGGATGTGTTGCGAATCAGATTGCCTTCGATACTGGCATTTTTGGTGTCATTGACCCCATCTTCAGAGTCGGAGTTGGCCGAGCTGCCGGACGGACTCCGTTTTTCTTGAGTCTGGGACTCTTCATCCGCCGCCTGGACGGCCCGAACTTGTTTCACCTTCTCTCGGGGAATCAGCAGGGATGGACCGTTCTCCGACGACGAGCGCCAGAAGCTGGTTGCGATAACTGTGACAGCGGCGAACAGGGCCCACCACGCCCAGATGATACCAAAGTTCCGCCAGAGATGGGCGTGGCTGTAAGACAGCGACGCCAGATATTGGTCTCCAGTCAGAGACACCTCGCCTTGGATAGCACCGCCCACGCCCGCACAGGATTGGAAGGCGGGATTCGAATACCCCGGGCCGTTGGGGATCAGGTTTACTCCGACACAGGGAATGATCTTGTTGTGGAACTCATTGGAGAGAAGGGCTTCAAATCCATATGCCAGCGGATCGATCCAGAAGATCCAGACAAACCACGGGTGCATCTGCGGCTTTCTGATCATGTAACCCGTGTACATGACGGTAGCCGTGATAAGAAGACCGGACATTTTGGAGGCGCCATCGAACGTCTGAAAAGCGGCTCCTACGGCGCGGAACAGGGCAGTCATACACTAGACACGGTTGTCAGCAATGCCTGCTCTGAGATACCTTTCCAATTCTTTACTCACCATAGTCGTCGCGATCAGGATGATCCAATATGTGAAGAAAGCACTGGCGCTGGTCGTCAAGCCCACCATGAAATACAGCACCACCGAAAAGATGCTAACCTGGAAGATGATGACGGGAATATCGGCCGTGATCTGCGCAATGCAAAATGCTGCAGGGTGGTAAAACGCGAAAGACTTGTGCTTGATCAGGACCGGTCGACCTGTGAAAGAATCCGTCACTTCGCTCATAGACAACAAGCTATTGTACAGCAGCGAAAAGAATAGCGCTCCGGACTTCACAAACAAGCCCCCGGAATTGTCTGGGGCGTTGTAGAAGAGCGATCCTGCGATCAAGGCCTGCGCCAGGGTTGAGATCTGCTTGATCAAGAACGTTGCCTTGTCGCCCCAGATGATATGATACTGTCGAACAATGCAGGCCTTGACCTGGGTTGCAAAGCTCGTCGTCAGTGGACTTGATGACGGCAGCTGGGGGTGCTTCTCCTGCGCAACAGATTCTTTAAACGCCTCTGTGCGCTGTTTCGCGAGATCGGTCATTGGATATTTGTACTCGGCCCTCATCTGTGCCGAGATTGGTGACTTCTCATATTCGGCCAACACCATGTCTGCATTCCGGGGAAAGCTGCGCTCGCAGCCCGGTCGGATCAACCGCTCGGTTGGTACCGTCACGCCCGTCAGGAAGTCGGCCACGTTGGCCCCATCACGACAGACGAAGCCCAGGTTCTCCATGAAGGGTCGAGCCTCCTTCATGGGGCCGTAGTAGATCTGCTTGCCTCCGTCGAGCACGAGGACCTTATCGAACAGTTCATAGATGCCGTTGCCGGCCTGGTATAGCGTTACGATGGATGCCAATCCGAGCACGTCCGTCATGGCCCGGATGGCCTTGGTGTATTCCAGGGCGGTGCTGGCGTCCAGCCCGCGCGTGCTGTTGTCCCAGCAGAAGACCGAGCCTCTCGTGGCCAGACATTCGATGATGGATACTCGTTTCCGCTCTCCGCCGGACACTCCGCGCACGAACTCGTTGCCGACTTTTGTATCGTGAGTGTGCTCGATGCCCATCGACTGGAGCAGGAAGTTCTTGGTCTCAACCCGCAACTCCTCGTCAGATTTCACGCCCTGGGGGAGGCGGTAGGGGATCTTGAGGCGAGTCGCAAAGTCCATGGTCTGGCCCACCGTCAAGGACGGAAAGAACAGTTCTTCTTCGGTATTCATGACGATCTGGCCTCGATACCGGGTGGCCTCTGCGGCGGTCATGGAGCCATACCAGACATCTCCCGTGACGGAGGCGTATCCATTTCGCCGGTTAGCAAGCATGTTTAACAACGTCGTGCAGCCAGAGCCGGGCCGGCCCAGAACAAGCAGCATCTCTCCGGGCTTGACGCAGCCATGACTGTTGCTGAGGATCCTCTTCAGCGGCGGTTTGTGGCGCGCCTCCTTGATCAGTTTCGGTATGTTGAATTGCGAGATGACGTTCTCGTTGATGGCTGCATCAGCGCTGATGACTTCGACATTGAGGTTTTGCCATGTCACGCCAAGCTCTCGCGGCTTGAAATCGGACTGGACATTGCGGGCGTGGATCTCTTCGACTTTGGACTTCAAGTGCCAGTCTCTCTCATTGTTGGTTTTGCCGTCTTCAAACTGCCCCTTGCCTGGTTGGCTGTCTTCAAGGGACAGCGTGGCCCCCGTATCCGTGTCTGACCTGCTCTCAGACATGTCGACGGCCATGTTGACCTGTTTCTCTTCTTCCATGCCTGGAGAGCCAGGGTTGGGTTTGCTGTATGCTGAGAAACCCTCAACACCCGAGGGGTCGTTCCTTTTATTATACAGGCAGACATTCCGGATGAAGACGGGGCGCAGCAGACTATCCTTTTGTTCGAGACAAGTCTGCTACAAGTGGATCAGCTAGATTAAGTTCGTCGTTGTCAACCAGCTGGCTGACGGGCCGATTTTTGGCACGCCATCCATCCGTTCGGGCAATATCGATATCCGAGATACTAATCTATGCACTAACGATTTATACATACGTATCTACTGGTTGGAGACAGTAATACTCTTGCAGATAAGCTTTCCTGTGGACCTTTCCGGTGGCGAACAAGGGGCCGAAGGGCCAGAACGGCGTTGCGAGACTCAGTATAAAGCCGTTTCGGCTGTGGATCTTCGGGAACGTGGTCGTCCCGACTGGCCGATTCCGCTTATTAAGGCGCAGCATGATACCGATACATACATGTTGACAACCGAGATCATTGCCTAGACTTCTGGTATGGAGGAGTATCTTCCAAGCTGAGATGACTCAATTGTGTCGATACGCCTCTTCGGCTCGGCAGACGCGATTAACGGCTTCTATTGACGTATATCCGAGAGGGCAGATCAGCCGCTTCCTGAACTTGCGAAACAATAGCATTGAGCACTTGAGTTGTGTGGTGACTGACGAGTGCATGCAACTTCTCACAACACAATGGATGTCTCATTGTGGTATCTCCGCTGTCCTCCGAAACTGCTGACGCAGAGGCAATGAATACAGCAAACAGGGGCGTTTGTAAGTGGAGAATTGTTTCAATTGTTCTATTGTTGTCTTTTTTTTTTAATCTCACTGAAAGTCGTTGTTCCGCTGACTCAGCGGAGGCAGTGACGTCTGGTGGATCTGATAACGTTAGAACCGCCGATCGTTAGCTCCCTAGATCTGGAGATCGAAGTCTGTCATTAGGGCCTCCTATTTGTGGAGCAGCTTCCGAGTCTTGGTCTTGGTCTCGGTCTTCGGACTTGGGACGCTCGTTGCTACTCCGTAACGTCCGTAACAAATTTCGCGGAGATGCCGTAGTGATTACTACTCCGTAGTGCAGCCGGACTGCCTGAGTCCCGACCTCCGAATCGGACATCAACGTGAGAATGGGAAGCAGCTATTATTATTATTGATCAAGAAATAAATCGCCAGATGGTCTACTTGAGATAGCGTGAGAAATCAAGAATTATTTCCTGGATCTGGAATTGCGTTCGTTGAAAGGCAAGCTGGACTGACAGTTGATTGGCCAACACGGATGACATAAGCGGAAGGACGTTCCTCCGCTTAGTCAGCTGGCTGTCGTTGCGTCAGCGATAATCCGACCTGATTCAAGTATCCAACCATCTTCCCGCCAGTTTTTTTTCGGAAATTTACAATTTAGGATGTGATGGCAGATGACTGAATGCCCGTTTAAGCTAGCCACGTGCACGGACTTAGGATGTACGTGACTCCAACATCCACCCCGCGCTCCGAAGACGAGACACAAGGGGAGCCGCAGAAACGGAAGCGCGTCGCCAGAGCATGTGATTCGTGCTATAAGAGAAAGGTACCGTACAGTCCACGGGCTCGATGCACTTTCTAGAATACAGGGAAAAATCGGCGTTCCTGACGTTGCGTGGCACCGTGTCCAGATCCAATGCGACGCGGCGGTTCCCCAATGCAACTGGTGCAGGCATCATGACCTGCCCTGCACCTTCAATCGAGTCGTCGGAGGGAATCGAAAGAAGAAGAGTGGCGGGCCGAAGTAAGTACTTATAGAGAATCCGGTTATATCACTTGAATACTCATGGTTTGAACAAGTAAGCAGCATCGGGCGGAGATGCGTCTGGCTGAACGCATCGAAAGAATTGAAAAGCTGTTGACCAGTAATCTAAGCACTCAGGAAACTGGTTCGCATATATCGCATAGAGAAAACTCTCCTCATCATCAAGTTAACTGTTATGTAGGTACCGGACATTCAACCCATCAGCATGCTGCTCAGCTATCTCCGCCGGTGATCGAGCCGCAGCCCTTTGGTCGCGGCTTTGGCAAACTGCACTTTGCCGGCTACAACCTGGGCGAGATCAGCTCGCACAATGGCATCCCACTGTTCTCCCCCGAGGGCCAGGAATGGGTACAATCCCGGACCGGAGAGAAGGCAACGTTCGAGAAACTATGCGCCTTTGGCCCGCCCTGGCAGAACCAGCATCGCTTCTATACAGCCTCCATTCCGGCTGATTTCCAGCGACTCCAAGCCTCAGTGGAGCTGCCAGATAGAAAGATCGTAGAGGAGTATTTATCGATATACCGCTCCTCCATCATTCGTCTGGTGTTTCCCTTCATTGACCCCGTCCTCTTCCAGGAGACGTTGAAGCTGGCCTACGAATCGCAGCAGGCTCCCATGCCGGCTGGTGCGGCCAGTGCCAAGGCGTGCGTCTACGCTTTTCTTTCTGTGGTGTCGATTTTCAATCTAGACGGAGTGTCTCTCCTAGTAGATAGCGAAGCTTGCTCCGTGAAAGCGCAGTGCTTTACCCCGCAACTTGTGCAGGAAACGACGATTGACGGGCTACAGACCTCTATCATGCTGGTAAGATTATTTCATTTATATATATATTTTTATTTTTCTCTTCCATGCTCACAGCAGACAGTGTCTCTTTCAGCTCTTCTCCGGAGACCTGCAATCTGCCGCCCTGCTCAGTGCTATTGCCTGCCGGGCCGTATTCATGCTGGGAGGCAATACAATGTCCGACACAGCCTACGTGACAAGTGATCCAACATCGCGGGTTCGATTCCATCTTCGGAATCTGTTCTGGCTGTGTTACACCGTCGACATCGAGATCTCTCTGCGATCCGGGCAGCCGCCCTCTATCAACGATGCATATTGCGACTTGACCCTGCCGCCACGGTATGTCGAGATGCAATATGCCGATTTATGTCATGACGTGCCTATCGACGACGATTTGATCGTTCCGTTGTTTCCGGGGGATCTGCGACTCTCCATCATCAAGATGCGGGCGTATAACGCCCTGTATTCGGTGAAAGCCCTGCACAAATCCGACGCAGAGCTCCTGAAGGACATCCGCGAGCTGGACGACGAGCTGGAGCAATGGCGCATGTCCGTGCCGCCGAAATACCGGCCCACCCTGTCGTTTTCCCACGAGACGCCCTTCGTCGACAAGAGCATGAAGTCGATCATCCTGCGACTGGAGTACCACCACTGCGTGGCGGCCATCCATCGGGCGAGCGGTCGTTGCCGTGTCTGGGCCGGTGGGCAGAGCGGTGAGATGGAAGGCGTCAGCTCAAGTCTGGCGCTATCTGTGGGAGCCAGTCGATCGTCGCTGCACTACCTGCGGACGGCAGTGCACACGCTTACGGGGGACTGTTTCTGGTAATACACGCGCGAACCTCATCACATCACGAGGAGTGAACTAATATTGTCGTCTGCAGGATGATCCTTTTCTATCCAATGTCCGCTCTTCTCACCATCTTCTGCAATCTGCTTATGAACCCACTGGACCCGCAGGCGATCGAAGACCTGGAGCTCCTCAGCCGGGTGCCCGAGCTGGTGAAAGGGATCCGGATCCGCCAGCTGACATTGAACGAGATCCTGCACATCAAGCTGGTCGACGACTTTGTCGCTGAGTTGATCCGACTGGGCAAGTGTGCCGTTGCAAAAGCCCAGAGAGAGCGGGAGCAAGCCGAAACTATCAGGCAAAAAAGCTGAAGACAACATTTAGGGATAGCGCGTCTATGGTACTGGCGTTTATCTGGGGGATAGGCCTGTGTATATCAATACTGTCGATTCGTTTTTCATTAAGCGGGAGTCACGAGCGGTTTCTTCTGTGGTATTTATAATTCAGCGTGCGAGAATATATCGGGAAATAGACCACATGGATACGTTTCTCATCCTTAGCACTAGGATAGATTCTATTTGCTCGATGACATCAGATCGAAACAGCTACCGTTGCGAGATGGTGCGCTACTACGGGGTAATATCAAACAACGCTCAGCTGAGGTCGAGTTAAGCATACCTGGCGCTGGAACGGCTGATGTACGACGTACGGAGTATGGATAGTTGTTTGCCAAGGGTGAGCAGACAATTGTTGCAGAAGAACAAGCGCGTGGCTGACAGTCTGACATCATCGTACAGAGCTAACCTTATTGGGAACAAGCTCATCCAGTGAGATCGCCGCGAATCGAGAATTGAGCAACTTCTAATCCCGATTCTGCCTAGTGCCCGCCAGGCGTGGGGACAAGCGAAGTCACTCCATGCATCAGTCATCCGGTCAATAGAAGAGGCATGAGTGGAAGAGTGGACGAATTGTGAGAATTATATTATGATTATCAGCAACTTTAAAAAGTAAAAGAAAAAAAGAAGGAGAGAGAGAAAGGAACAACAAGGAAAAAGCGATCGACAATCAATATTTGTAAAAGAGAGTACGAAAATATATATAACGGCGTGGACATAGATATGATGCGACATACATATAGTAGTGCAATAGAAAGAGGAGGAATTAAGGGGAAAAAAAATGGCAGGTGTCCAGATCAAGTAGTTGACTCGATGACAGATAAAATTAAGCACTTGAATTGAATCGACGTAAAAGGAGAAACAAACTTCTCAAGTTTCAATATATATATTGCTGCACAGTTGGAATGCAATCTTGTCGCCAACGTCTAGAATAATATGATTTCCACCGGCTATGACTCAGGTCAGATACCGCGGATGTCGAAGGTTGCGATTGACCAAAAAAAATCAGATATCGCTTCGCAGCCATCTTATTCCTAAGCCATTTTCCCACCCAGTCTGTGAGGGTAATTCATACCGCGGTACACAAGGTATGGAGTGAAGAGTAAGTTAGGTAGATACCTGATCTGCATGAAGATTCCTTCAAGCGCTTGGTTTCATCGCCGCGGAGAAACGCCCAGCATCTCCGCGGCAGTTTCTACCACTCATAGCAGTTGACGAACCTCTCTTATAGGCCATAAACACTGAGATCCATCTTTGAACCCAAGTGCTATTACATAAAAGAAATCCTTTTTTTTAGCTTTTATTCGCACTGTGGGTGGTCCATTACGCGCAGTTGTAGTCGGCTAAATGTTAGCCGTCGGGTGTGAGTATGTACTGTGCACTCAACATTTGCGGTTACTAATCATGTATTCATGCTAACTTACTATCATAAACAAAATAGTAAATAATAATGGTATATAAAGGTCCGGTGAGCGGAAAAAAGATCATAAAGACCATCGAAGCTATTATGTGACCAAGCAACAGAGTGGCAGACTACTACGAAGATGGGTCGACAATCCGACGGAAGTCCTCCACACACGAATACGAACAATGGCATTATTCTGCAATCAGAAAAAGTCAATCTAGACATCTCTTCCGGAGAAAAAGATACCAAAAATGAACCTTTCTCTCCTCCCGACGGCGGTTTCAAGGCCTGGCTGCACGTTGCCCTGGGCCATCTCGTCTTCTTCAACACCTGGGGCGTCACCAACAGCTTCGGCATGTTCCAGCAATACTACGAGCAGACCCTTCCCTGCAGTCATCCTCCGTCTGATATTGCTTGGATCGGCAGCGTCCATGTCTTTCTCTTCTTTGTCGGCGTCTACACCGGCCGAGCCACCGATGCAGGATATTTCCGACTGGTCTTTGTCTCTGGCGTCGTCCTCCAGCTCCTCGGCACGTTCATGACTTCACTGGGCACCAAATACTGGCAGATCTTCTTGAGTCAGGCCGTCTGCGTAGGGCTAGGCCATTGTTTTACCTTTGGTCCGGCCCTGTCGGTCATGTCGTCGTATTTCCTGCAGAAGCGTGCCCTGGCAGTCGGCCTTGCTGCTGCTGGCGGGGCCACCGGCGGTCTGGTCTATCCGGCTGTCGTGAACCAGCTGCTGTACCATAGCGATGTCGGGTTCCCCTGACGATGCGAGTGATAGGCTTCATCATGTTGGGGACGCATATCCCGTCCGTGCTGTTCTTCCGATCCCGTCTTCCCCCGCCAAAGACCGGAGCGCTGGTCGAATGGACGGCGTTGAAGGAAGTTCCCTATGTGGCGTTCATCTTCAGCTTTTTCTTCAACTTCTGGGGTCTCTATTTCGTCTTCTTCTACCTGGGGACGTTTGCTCGCGACCGGATCGGCATTGCGGACTCGATCAACCTGGTCATGGTGCTGAACGGGGTCGGCGCCGTGGGACGCAGTCCCAAACCTCGTAGGAGATCGTTTCACGGGGACGCTGAACCTGCTTGTTCCCTGCAGTTTCGCCGCTGCGATCCTGGTCTATTGCTGGGCAGCTGTCAGAACAGCGTCGGGATTGTGGGTGTTCACCGTCATCTACGGCATTGTCGCCGCGGCTTTGCAGTCTCTTTTTCCGGCCACAGCAACTGTTTTAGTCACCATCTGCGCAAGGTGGGTACGCGAGTGGGAATGGTGCTCACGGTGGTCAGCTTCGCGACATTGACTGGCCCAGCGATCGAGGGTGCCTTGATCCAGCGCGACCAGGGCGGTTATCTGCTCGCCCAGATCTTTGCCGCAACATCGATTCTGATCGGCGCTGTGGCAGGGACCGTGGCGAGAGTTGCCAAGGTGGGCTGGAAATTGCATGTCAAGGTCTGATCTTGCATACGCTTTCTTTCACCAAGACTGGAGCCCAGAATCCGATCAAGCCGCAGGAGGAAACAATCCCATGAAGTATATAAGCAGAACTCTTTAGTAATAGCTGTAATAGTCGTCTAGATGGAAACTACAGAAACTCTTAATCTATTGATAGCAAGTTGATTTGTAGAGCAGAATGCTTCCGTCATTGACCTTAGATGGGCCAGTTCTATCTATTTCAGATTCAAGATCAACATGCTGCCTAAGCTAGATCGTCCATATAGTATGTCTATAGATAGGAAAAGCTTTAAATTCTCCTCCATGCTTCTCCCTTCTCGGACGAGACTCTCACTTATACAGGGTGATCTGGACTCCGGTCTTGTTTGACGGGCAAACCCGCATACGCCGTGTACGGCGCAAGGTCGTGGGACTCGATCGTGCATATATCTGCGCCAGATGCGCGAGCATACACGATGACTCGGTTGTGACCATCATCTGCGCTGACGGGCCACCAAAGGGCACGAAGTTCCAGAAGGGCCCCAGCCCGTCCCAGCTCTCTGGCCGGAACTCGTACGCATCCTCCCCCCAGTAGTCCTGATCGCGGAGCAGAACAGTTTTTGTAACCTGAATAATATCGCCCGCGTGGATCGACTCATTTGTATAGACCTTGCGGCAGAAGAAAGGCTTGGTCAGGAACCGGCTGAAGACCCAGTCGTCGTCATCAACAATATTGGCCCCTTTATCCGCAAATGGCATCAAAAATTCGCTTTGCGTTGGATATGACTAATACCAAAGTCTTGCCAGACTACAGCCGTCGGCGCTTTGAGGTTCTCAGGCTCAATAGTATCTCAGGCATATTGGCATGCATGCTGCTGAGTCAGAAGTAGCCCTAGCTCGCGCAGGACCTGAATTCAGCTGGCCCCAGACAATATCGAGGACAAAGACCGGGCCTTCGGGCCGTAAAACTTCGGGCCGTAAACCTATTTCATTCACATGGCGAAGAAGGCACCGGAGCATGAGCCCGATGAAGCTATAGTAGAGAAAGAAGACATGAAGTGTCGGTTCTATGAAAATTGTGGTTCAAATGATGGCAGGAAGTGCTCAAAAATATTGACTTCCTCACTCAGTCGTGCGATTTGTACCGATAAAAGCTGCCGGTTTTGGGTCAAACCTGGTAACCCTAAGGCCAGATGCCTCGCAGTCGATGAGTACGTAACGTTATTGCCTGGATGCAATGGCTGTTCTAGGTAGTGAAATTTTGAAATTGTCCGCTGGATTAACTGTGTATGATCGGCCACAGAGGCTGGCCTCTCCCTCAAGCATACCGTGCGCACCCTGGTCGGAGTAGGATGTATACGGTCTGTACTGTACTGTCGTTTCTATTTTCCTTGACCGCATGTTGTGAAATGTGACTGCGCACATGAAACGAACAGGTAGGGGCTAGTTTCTTGCTTTGTGTAGCCGATATGCATCGGGGCAGTGGCAGTGATGCGGTCCAACGCACACTCAAACGAAGGATTGGATGCCTGTACTGCAGGTGTCAGAATGATAATCAAAGGACTTGACTGCATCAAAGACATTGACAGATGCAAAGTTGCGGTGAAATTTGTCGTGGGGCCATATCTGGGAGCTGTCAGAGGAAGGTGTCACAAAATTCGGGCCAGCTTACAGCCCGAGCATCAGCATGGCCCGAAAAAAGAGCTCGCAATGTATTCCCCTTTGTGTTTTCGGTCCGCACATATTTGCTTAGCTTAGCCACTGCACGTGGTTGACAGGTTATCTGTTTAGATAACCGCCGAGTCATGATGTCAAGTGAGACATTCATGTTTTGAGATGGTAAAAAAGAACCTTAAATTTTTTAATACCCTATCAAGCCTGTAAAACCCATAGATAAATGCTTGATATAAGCCTTATAAATGCTTCCTAATGAACCCTCAAATGGGCTTCTCGCGTGACTTTAGGATTGTTTCACGGGGACCTTTATCGGGCATTATTGTAGAGGGCTTCATAGAAGGAGCGTTCATAGTAGGGACAGATCTTGATAAACGGTCTCGTTTATCATACCGAAAACAGGCTGAGAATAGAAACAAACAAATAGTATGAGTGGGGTCTATCTGAGTCAGATTTCTGAGACGCAAGGTGCATGGAATATCTTGATACTTCATGTAGGTTGAGATCCATTTCCCCCCGAGATATTCGCCATCCTTCACCATACGGCAGAGAAGCAGTTTCTATCCTTGCAAGATAGGTTTTGGCCATGGATAGCTGAGGAATCGAAATTTAGCAATCCGCAGAAAAGAATTGGGGTCCAAGAACAGGGACTCCATGCAAAGCTGAGGAACATAGTCAACATAGTGTTACGCAATCGAAGACGTGCTGAGTGAAGCAAGCAGTAAGCATGGTGGTTTGTCTGGAGTGTCGAAATCTTATATATACTTACTTGTCTAGCATGCGAAAAACACCAGCAGAGTACTCATTTCGCATCCGTTTCTTTGCCTATCTCGAACCATCATTGTTTCCTCGCTCATACCACGAAAATGAAAGCGCCCATTGGGATCATTGGCTCATCCTGCCGCCTGCCTGGCGGCTGCAACACGCCTTCCAAGCTATGGGACCTCCTCAGCGATCCCAAAGACGTGCTGAGCACGTTTCCGGCCGACAGGCTAAAGCTGTCAAACTTCTACCATCGAGATGGCGAACATCATGGCAGCACCAACGTCAAGAATCGCTCCTACCTGCTCTCAGAAGACATTCGCATGTTTGATGCACCTTTCTTCAACATCAACCCCCTCGAGGCTGATGGCATGGATCCCCAACAACGCTTGCTCCTCGAGACAGTCTATGAAGCATTGGAATCTGCAGGCTGCTCACTGGAGCAAGTCAAGGGTTCCCAGACATCTGTCTATGTTGGTGTGATGAATGCGGATTATTTTGATATGCAGTATCGCGATACTGAGACTTTGCCCGTGTATAACGCTACGGGTACGGCTCGGAGTATCCTATCCAACCGTATTTCATATTTTTTCGACCTCAAAGGACCGTCTATGACGATTGATACTGCCTGTTCAAGCTCTCTGGTTGCCTTACACATGGCTGTGCAGAGCCTGAGAGATGGAGAATCAACAATGGCTATTGTTGCTGGCGCGAACCTCTTGCTTGATGCATCCATGTATATTGCAGAATCAAAGCTGCATATGCTCTCCCCTGATTCTCGATGCCGGATGTGGGATAAGGATGCTAATGGCTATGCTCGTGGTGAAGGATTTGCTGCTGTTGTCCTCAAACGCTTGTCTGATGCAGAAGAGAACAACGACAATATCGAATGTATTGTCAGGGAAACAGCGGTTAATTCTGACGGGCGTACAAAGGGTATCACCATGCCCAGTTCTGCGGCACAGGCAGCTCTCATCCGAGAGACATATCACAAGGCAGGGCTGGACCCGGAGCAGGATCGTTGCCAGTATTTTGAATGTCACGGCACCGGAACAGCAGCTGGTGACCCCGTGGAAGCCAGAGCGATCCGAGATGTGTTCTTTCCGAACGAGGATGCCACGAGACGCGAGGGTAAATTGCTCGTTGGGTCGATAAAGACCGTTATCGGCCACCTGGAAGGGACAGCCGGTCTGGCAGGAGTACTCAAAGCATCGCTAGCCATCCAGAACCGAACGATCCCACCAAACATGCATTTCAAAGAACTAAATCCCGAGATCGTTCCATTCTGCAACAATCTCCAAGTGGCTACCAGTCGGATGCCATGGCCAGAAGTAGCGGGTTCTCCACGACGAGCCAGTGTGAACAGTTTTGGTTTCGGTGGAACAAACGCACATGTTATCCTTGAAAGCTATGAGCCAAAGGTCGAGAAGACGGAGCGAAACGGCCAGGACAGTCTATTCGTGGGTCCGCTGACCTTTTCCGCAAACACAGAAGCGTCTCTGTTGGCGACTGTGACGGACTTTGCAGCGTATCTCAAGCGAAATGACTCGGTGAATCTGGCCGATCTGGCGTGGGTTTTGCAGCTCCGGCGTTCTCACCTGCCCTTCAAGATGTCTTTCTCTGGAGCTACCCGGCAGAGGGTCTTGGAGGCAATTGATCACTATTTGGAAAGCGCTGAGCGTGCAGTCGTGCGTTCACGCGGCTCAAACGAGGCTCCGGGAATTCTCGGTATTTTCACCGGCCAAGGTGCCCAGTGGGCGTCCATGGGGCGGCGCCTGATCGAGTCCTGCCCGTTATTTAGGGATTCGATCGAACAGTGCGAGGCATCTCTGGCCGGTCTGGGTGACGAGGCGCCCAAGTGGTCACTGATGGAGGAATTGATGGCCGATGCAACGAATTCGCGCCTGTCTCAGGCTGCATTCTCGCAGCCTCTTTGCACCGCTCTGCAGATTGCCTTGGTAGATCTCATGTATGCGGCTGGCATCAGATTCCGAGGCGTTGTCGGTCACTCGTCCGGTGAGATTGCTGCTACCTATGCAGCTGGCATAATCTCTGCCAAGGATGCCATCCGGATTGCTTACTACAGGGGATATCATGCCAAGCTGGCAGGTGGTGACAATGGTCAAAGGGGAGGCATGATGGCTGTTGGCCTCTCTTTTGAGGATGCGGCTACCCTCTGCAAGCAACCTGCTTTCTCTGGTCGCCTGTGTATTGCTGCAAGTAATGCCAGGGGCAGTATCACCCTTTCAGGTGATCTGGATGCTATCGAACAGGCCAAGAAACAGTTAGATGAGCAGAAGGTTTTTGCAAGACAGCTCAAGGTTGATACAGCGTATCATTCCCACCACATGCTTCCATGTTCCGCATCTTATTTGAAATCTCTGAAAGCCTGCAACATCCAGGTGAGCCCTCCAAAGGAGGACTGCGTCTGGGTATCCAGCGTGCGCGGAGATGCAGATCTTCTTGACGGTGACTTGAGCATCATTAAAGGTGAGTACTGGGTGGATAATATGGTGAAAACGGTTCTCTTCTCTGAAGCAGTGGAATATTCTCTAAGGAGGGCTGGCCCATTTGACATTGTGACCGAGATTGGTCCACATCCAGCACTCAAAGGCCCGACAACACAGGTCATCCAGGAAGCGTTGGGATCACCCCTGCCATATACTGGGTGTATGAAGCGAGGGGACGATGATGTCGAGGCATTTTCGGCTGGTGTGGGCTACCTATGGTCTCATCTTGGGTCGTCTTCTGTGGACTTTGATGGCTATCATCGAGCATACTATAAGGCAAACCCGCCCACGCCCAAGATGCTGAAAGGCTTGCCTTCATACTCCTGGGATCATGGCAGAGTCTATTGGAAGGAATCCCGCATTTCCCGAAATTTCCGTCTGCGCGATAATAAGCCCCACGAGCTCTTGGGGCGACGAGTCCTAGATGACTCAGAATATGAGATGCGCTGGCGCAATATTGTGCGACTCAATGAAGTTTCCTGGATCGGAGGTCATGTCTTCCAAGGCCAGGTCCTTTTCCCCGCAGCAGGCTATGTGGCAATGGCAGTGGAAGCCTGCAAAACGGTTGCAGACGGACATGCGCTCAAAATGATTGAACTGCAAGACATGAAAATATTCAAGGCAACAGTCCTTAATGAGGGCCATGCGGGAGCGGAAATGATATTCACCCTTCGTCGGCTTGCTAAGAATATTCCCATAGGGAATCATCCCCCCGTGCGGGCCGAGTTTGCTTGCTATGTCTGCTCAGAGGAGGGAGCAGGTACGATGGAGATGACATGCTCTGGCCAACTTCAGATTCATTTTGGAGAGCCATCCGATAAGAAGCTGCCGACAAAGCCCCCAGGTCCGCCGAATCTTGCTCCAGTGGAGATAGACCGATTTTATTCGAACCTGGAACGGGTAGGTCTTAACTACCAAGGGCTTTTCAGGAAGATGGACCTGCAAAACCGGGCTCTCAGATATGCATCTACGTCTGCGTCCTGGGAAGACGAGGAACTGGGCCACGATTATACGCTCCATCCGTCACTCCTAGATGTGGCATTCCAGGCGGCGTTTGCGGCACATTCATCTCCGTCAAGTGATGGCATGTGGACGCCGTTTTTGCCCATTGGGATCTCTCGGTTGCTACTAAGTTTGAACCAAGCGCCTCAAGCTATCGCGGGACACGTTCGACTAGATACAACTGCATTTATCACCAGTATGTCTGCTTCCGGCTTCGAAGCCGATATTCACGTCTCTCTTCCTGGCGAGAAGCATGCCGGGATCCAAATCGAGGGCTTAACAATGAAATCCGTGGATCAACCAACAGCTTCGAATGACCAGTATGTTTTTTCAAAGACAGAGTGGGATGTCGATCTTTCGACAGGACTGGCCCCCTTCGGTGAAGAGAATAGCCGGGATCCGCGTGAATTGGTTGAAGTACTGGAACGGGTGTGTCTCTTTTACTCCCGCAGGCTTGTCGCCGAGATCGCGATGGCGGAGACAAAGAACTTCAAATGGTACCATCAATATTTCCTGCATTCGCTTCACCATTACCTGGATTCCATCTGCAACGGAAACCATTGCACTCTGAAGATGGAATGGATGGAAGACACTCCTGAAACAATCCAAGCACTAACAGCACAATACCCTGGACAAATCGACTTGGCTATGGTGCATTCCCTGGGTGAGAGTCTTGTCGCCATTTTCCGGGGTCAGAAACAGATCCTAGACGTGCTGATGGAGAACGACAAGCTCCACCGATACTACATGGAAGGATGTAGCTTCCGGCTTCTCAACCAGCACATGTCGCGAGCAATCCGCCAGATCACTCACAAGTACCCACAAGCACGATTGCTCGAAATTGGCGCTGGTACTGGCGGAACCACGAAGAATATCTTGGATACGATTGGCAATGCCTATTCTTCATACACCTATACGGATATTTCTGCCGGCTTCTTCCCACGAGCAGCTGAGAATTTTGCACAGCAAAAGGGCAAAATGATATTCAAAACACTGGATATCGAAAGGAACGTTCGTGAGCAAGGGTTTGAAGAGCAGTCGTATGACATCATTATTGCTTCCAATGTGCTGCATGCTACTCGTAACCTGTCCCAGACGATGCAGCACGTGCGCTCTCTCCTTCGGCCAGGTGGCTATCTCGTCCTGACGGAAGTGACCGGTGATCTGCTGCGCACCACCTTTCTGATGGGTGGCTTCGAAGGCTGGTGGCTGGGAGTGGATGAAGGTCGGCGGTTTGGACCAGGGATCTCGCCTGTCCAATGGAACGAGCTCCTCCAAGAGACTGGATTTTCCGGCGTCGATTCTGTTGTGCACGACCAGCAAGAAATCGAGTGGCATGCTACATCTTTCATTGTCAGTCAGGCGGTGGATGAGAAATTCGAGATCCTGCGTGACCCTCTTTCGTCAGTGAGCAGCATCCCTCCCACAGAACGGATCTTGGTCATTGGCGGCCAAACATTGCCAATTTCCAAGTTGTCTAGAGACGTTCAAAAGTTTCTTTCTCCCTGGAAGCGCTTCATCACCGCCGTGACCAGCATCGACGCTCTGGACAAGACAGCCTTCTCGGCGTCAACCTCTGTCATCTCTCTCACCGAGCTAGACAGGCCGCTTTTCGCAGATCCAATGACCTCAGACCGATGGCAAAAGTTCCAGGATGTCCTCAGCAAATCCGTCAATGTCCTGTGGGTTACAGCAGGTCGCGCGAGTGAAAGTCCACATTCGAACATGGTGGCCGGTATTGGACGGGCTCTCCAAACGGAGATGCCTCAGCTGAACTTGCAGCTGCTGGATATTGGCAAGGCGACAAATCTCAACTCTAGACTCATAGCGGAGGCATTCCTGAGACTAATCGTCTCTAATATACGCGAGTATGCCGAACATGACATGCTCTGGGAGAAGGAGCCGGAAATCACGTTCGACAACGATCGGATTCTCATTCCCCGCGTGATGCCCAGCAAGACGCTGAACGATCGATGGAAT